CCCCCATTGCAGCTCGAATTTGCTTCTAAGTGCTCACCTTTACTTTGAAAGGAAACTTTATTCAGCTTCCTTCCTCTTACCGTTTAGGTTGTGCGTTGATCACCAATCTGTCCGTCCGTCAATCAATCAGGATAAACTATTTTATATATAGATATACTCTTATGCTCTGATAATTATTCAATCCAGGTCTTTATAAAGTATATAGAAATTTGTTTGCAGATTTTTCTCAAATGCAAAATCCCAAGCTTTTAAACTCTATACAATGCTTTAAAATAAAAGAATCATAAATACTTTGTTTTAGTATGTTTATATTTGCTTTTACCTTGCAAAAACCCGCTTCCCAACAAAACGAGAGGAAAAAACAAAGTGAAATTCAAAATGCCATATAAGACAAAACAGTTTACAGACGCACGAGCTACGTATGTTTGTTTCTAATGCCACACAGTGGCAAAATCTCATCTTTTCTCGCGAAATTCTAAAATATTGAAGAAGTTGTTTAACAAAGTATACAACAATACAGCAATAAGTTTTGAATTGTTAGAATTGATTTCAAGAACCCCAGTTAACTTTTCTTTTAAAATGTCTACAAAATACATTTTTTTATCATTCATTCAAATGTAGATTTATGGAATTTTACAGATAATAATAATAGGATGTAGGACTCGAATCAATATTAAAATCGTTAAGTTTTTAATTCGACTATACATCTTTGATCAAGTCGGTGCAAATATTATTCCCTCTCCCTTTAGATACAATTGTTTGACATTTATGCTTTCAACTGCAGTTGTAGAATTAAATATATTTTGTGATTTTACAAAGATCCACTGTCCACAATCCACTGTGCCCGCCATATGTATGGTCGTCGGGTTTTATGATTGTTTATTTAGATTTTGAAACAATTGCGTCATTTCGCTATATTGAGAAAGATGCAAATTGTGTTCGCTTTTAGTTTTCAGCAAGTCGCGCAGACACAACACACACAGCAGCTTTTAGTTTCTCGAGGTTCTTCTATTTTAGTTGAATCCACATAAATGGCAGGTCGTGTCAGTAGCAGTTTAAATTAGTTGCTGGCCGCCTAACAAGCACACACAAAAATCTAATAAATAAATAAATAAATAAATAATAACGGCGACTGCTGTTCCATCTGCTGCCTGGGCATCCATACTGAGCCTAATGAGCTATATCCATATCCATATCAATATCAAAACGAATATATAGTATATGCTTGTTTATGTATGATATGATGACGACCTTCCGTCCGCTCGAGGCAGCAGCTGTACTCGCACACGCTTTTATGTTTATTGATTTGCGCCATTTGTTTACCAAGTTAAATAATATTTGGTCTTTTTTTTATGTTCAAGAAAGGGGTGAAAGTTTTCGTTCCATGCTTTGCATTGCCAAAATTTCGAAATGGCTTTTGTTGTTTAATTATTTTTTTTTTGAAAACAAAACGATTTAAATCTTTTCAAAATGTGTGTGATTTCCCACAACAGAATAGAAGAAAACCCAATTAAATAACAATAAATTATGTGCAATTCTAGATGCAGGCAATTGGCAGTACTTTTCCAAATTCCCTTTAAATCATAATTCCCATCACAACTTAGAAAATGTTCAACTCATAACTAATGTCACTTAAATGCATTAAAGAAGAACTGGGGTAAACAATTTAAAAAGCTCTTAAATGCTTTCGGTAAGGCGCTTACATGTGAAAAGTGAAAAGCCTATTACCTCATTTGAAGAACTTGCATTTCCATGCTCTGACACTTTTCCACACTAGCCAACAACACTGACTGCTAGGGGAAAGGGAGCAAGCAAGAAGACAATCAATAACAATGGCAAAAGCTGGCATTTTCACACTTTTGTTTAAAGACAAGCCACTGCTTCTGGGCAAAACACTATTGGAAGTAACTGTTGCAAATGTAAAGCTCGCATTTAATTGCACTTAGCTGCTTACGAACTGAGATGAAGGAACGAACGAAGTGGAGTCGCAGTATCACTTCCCTGACAGTGAAAAGTGAAAGTCACTTGTGGGAACAGAAATGGCAGACGCCAGACAATAGACAACAATAACAACAAAGGACGCAAACAGACAATGTCTTCATTTTGTGTTTCTTGTTCTTTTTAGCACTGTTTATGTGTCTGATTTTCTAATTGGATTTCGCTGCCTGCCGCTGTCGCTGTTGTCTGCTAAAAATTGTTTGCAGAGGCAGACAAACAAAAGAGTTAAACAGCGTTAACCCCTTGTCAGCCCACGTATGGTTCATGTCCATGCCCAAGTTTCGGTTGAATTTTGAAATGTCTGCAACTCGGTAGCGATTAGAACTTCAAGATAAAAGAGTACTATGCGGCAACGCCTATTTTGACTACTGTTCTCCATTATCTCCTATCTACTATATTGTTGGCCATTTATCATGCTCTAAGACAGCCGACTGACTGCTGGTTACAACACTCTGCACAAAAGCCCAAGCTGTTCGTTTCTCTTGTAATATCAAAGCGCATTTCCGCCAATGTACTACCGAAGCTAACGTTTCAATTCCACTTGTCCACTTGTTCCTCTCCCACACACCCACACGCTCTCACAACACTCTTCACAGGTAGCAGCAAGCAGGGCTTTGCTTTGATGCGCACTTCAAATAATCTCTTTGTGGCTATCTTGCATCGCCGAGTTCAGTTCCTGAGCTTCATGTGTTTATTCTGCTTCTTCTCATTTGTATCTGACTTGGTTGTTGTTGTTGTCGTTCTGTTTGATTGATAGTTTGTTTACAAATTTAATTTCATTTTACTTATTTTTGTTTAATGCCTTGTGGCATTCACCTAATGTTCAAGTCTCATGTTTGTTGTGGCTGTGGTTTTTCTTCTTTTTTTTTCGCCGTTTCTCTCTATACCTGGACGCCGCGCCTTTTATGTGAGTGTGGTTGTCGGTCGCTCATTTGTTTGACTTCTATCTTTTGGAATTTTATATACAAATATAGAAATTGAGAAGTAGAAAAGAAGGAGACAGGCGGGGAGAATAAATGCAATTCATTTGAATGCTTGTACTTATACAATCCAATCACGTCGTCAACAAAGTCGTTGTTATTGTTGTTGTTCTTGCTGCTGTTAATGTTCAATGGTGTGCAACGTTCGAAAAGGATGCTTGAGCTGGGTTGTTCAATAAAAGGGCTGGGCTAAGTACAACGTTGTGGACTTCATTTGTAAAATGTTGGCCAAGAATTATTTGGCAATTGCTATTCTTCTAACATTGTCAATGCATATACATACTACATATATTCTCGTATGTATTCTGAAGTACCATTTTGATTAAATTCTTGGAAACTAATACTATTTGTGTTGTATAATTTCTGATAGCAATTTATGTGGACAGTTGGATAAACAAATAACGAACTAAATGTCAACGACAGTCACAGAGATAAACCAACATACATACACACATAGTTTCTGTGTGTACATAACTAATATTGTTACAGCATATCGAATAAGATACGACAAGTATGACATGTCTCATGGAAAAGCTCACTTGGGACTTCAATTTTAGATGGCAAACGATTATGTCAATAGAATGATATCACTCGATGTAGAATAGATAGCTTATAAATAGAATGAATGGGCAGAGTAGGTTATAAATAGAATGAATGTTAAAAATTATGTAAGAGCGACATGCGAGATTGCTGAAACATGTTAAGATACTTAAACAAAATAGGTAGAAAATAGTCAAAAGTAAAGTCTAAAATAAAGGAAATAATCATAGCTACATATATGAGAAATACTGCTTCGTACCTATTAGATGTACCAGACTAGTATACAAAACGGCATTTGTTTTTGTCTTATCGAGGTGGGTGGACATAAAAATTCGAATTGGCAGTTTGACAACAATTGAAAATGGTCGGAACATTGTACTCCTTGTTCCGTTCTTGTCACTACATCTTTTTTTTAGCTTGGAATTTCTATTTGCCTCTGTGGAAGAGACTTTTTAGATGCCGCCCAGAGCAAGGGTCTGTGCCACATGTGTGCACCATGGTTCCAATTAGAGTTTGCTTGTCCGAAACAATTCACAAATTTTATCGCGCACACTTCCTTTCTTCCTTTTGCGCCACAGCGAACGACAAAGCCGAGAGCAAATATCAAGGAAGGAAAAAAACTCTATAAATCAGAGGGAAAAAGAAGAATGTGTTCATTCCTTCAGTCGCCGCATTGTGTTTGCACTGCGCTTTAAACCGTTTATCTTTATCCCACGCAAAACGCTCGTCGGACTGACTGACTGCCTGGTAGCCTGCCTGGCTAGCGGCATTGTCTGACTGCCAGCCAGTTCACAACAAATCACGCACGGAAGTGCTGGGTAATGTCCTTGCCGACGGCGACAGCGACGGGATTAACAAACGCCATCACCTTCTTAGCCTGAACGCCATTAGCGTAATTTGTTTTGTGCGCTCGGTGCCTCAAACGCTCAAACGAGGAAGCGACGACCGCAGCGGAATGAGCGAGCACTGTGGGAAAGGGAAGCCCAAAAAATGTTGACAAACAGCGACAAATTAAATTTAACATTGTCCTGTCTGACACTTCCTGAGTGGCGAACAGAGCACATTGTGGGGCTTCATTGAAAACAAACAAAAAAAAAAAAGATTGAAATATTAAAAGAGGCGTAATATGTAATTAGCTAATTAATTTAGGGCTTCTTCAACATTTTTAACTGAAATATAAAAACTTAAAAATTGAAATGCAAAATGTGGATAAATTCGCCACAGGCGACGCTTGATGTTGAATCTAAATTGGTTTAGTTGCACGTTTTAAGAATTGGGTTTCAAACCAAACCAGCATCGATGCGCACTTTGTCTAAAAGGGTTTTAAGACCAAATGAGTTTATATTTTGTTTTACCTATTCCCACCTATACACCCCATAAACGACGCTGTTTTGTACTTGTATATTGCTGGCAACACTCGTGTGTATGAGCGTTTGTGCCACCAAAGACTAAGCAACAACAAAAACAATCTACCACTTTCAGTTGATAGACCCCTTGGATGCACATCATAAGGAAGCCAAAATAATTACAGTAGCCAAGGAAAGTCGTAAAAAGAAGAAGAAGAAGCGAATCACGGACTCTTTACAAGAAACTCGTTTGCTGCAACCATAACAAAACCAAAGCAAACAAAACAAATCAAGTTGGGGGCCAACATTAAGATCCCATAAAAGACTGAGCGGAAGTGAGCAATAGTGTGTGTGTTGAGGTGTAAGATAGAGTAGAGAGACACCCTGAACATGGCACCGCCGCATCAAAAGCGGCCCAGCATAACCAACTGGTTCTCCTCGTTGCGTCGTCCGCCCAAGAACAAAAAGAATGGTGGCGGCGGCGGCATCATTGGCAGCAGCGGCAGTTTTGGCAACAAGCCGCAGTTGCAGCGCAGTTGTTTCGATTTGTCGTCGTCAGCCACAGCGACAGCGATAGACTCAAATGTAGTCGTGTCCAACAGTCGCAGCAGCAGCACCTTCTACATAGCCCAGCCTCAGCCAAAGTCGACGTCGACGCCGCCAGCGGAAGCAACAACACCTGTCGCTGAAGACGATGATCGTCGACGCTTGATACGCGATGACAGCGGCAGCAGCAGCGTCTCTCAGCTGTGTGCGCGCTGCTTCTGCAATTTGGGCAGCAGCCGCTCCGTCAGTGACTCGCCACCGCCCACAACTAAGCACCAACAACAACAAGCCTGTGCCGGCAAGCCACCGCCCAAGCCCCGATCTCCCTCCCTGACCCCCTATACAAGCGTGGCCAGCTACAATTCCGCTGAGATTCCTGCAGTTTCCACACTCACCTCCGAGACTGTGACCGCCAGCGATGTGAGTCGAACGGCAGAACTGATACGTTTGCCTTCCACTGAGCCGCACACACAACTCCTTTGCAAGCGTGCCGAGCAAACGAATAGGACGACGACAACAACAACGCACACCATGATTATCTCGCGGCCAGTGGAGCTGCTCCTCAACGAACGCGGCGAGATTATTTCCAGACGGCCCCAACAATTGACGCGCAATCGACGCTCCAACTCGCTGGGCTGTGTGCTGGACGAAGAAGAAGTTGGAGGCGGGGGCATAGATAACGGTGCATTGGAAATAGATACCGATGGTGGACAAAGCTCGGTGCTGAGCTCCCCCTTGTCCACCGGAGAGGAGGGGGAGTCGAATGACTTGCGTTTCATTGACGACAGCTCGAATTCTCAGAGCGAATCCGAACGCAATTCAGTGAACAACAACAATAACAACAACAATAATAGTAATAATCATAATAACAACAACACAAACAATAGCAATAGCAAGAAAAATCACAACCAAAACGACAACAACAATCACATGAATCTCTGCGACATTTGTCGCACGGTCATTGAGCGGAATCGCAACAATGCCGAGCAGAGCGCAAATGTTGTCATTTTGAGGAGACCGCAACAACAACAACAACAGCAGGTAATTCGATATGAACTCCTTCGTGAGTCGGTTGGGCCTCAGAAATCCAGGCATACACAAATAATATTGTTTATACAGAGTGGATGAGTGCCATGTATTTACATATTTTGTTTTATTTATATAAATGTATGTCTCGCTGCTTAGCTAGATCTATGTAGCTGAAATCTACACTTAGGCCTTAGTTTTGCTGGATCTATGAGATTGTTTAGAAAGGGCTGCCCGAAATAACAAAGTAGCTGCTCATCTCTGCAGCTTCTTCTATAAGGTGTTAGATGGGATTACAAGTTTGGCCGAATTTGTTATTTTTTTTATAAGCAGAGTGTTTCTATTTAAAACTATCCATTGTGGACAATCATTAAATTGGTTAAATAAACCTGACAATTAATTCATTTCATTTATGATGAGGTTGTAGTATCTGGCTAGTGCCAGGCGAGGTCCAGAGGATATGTCCTGTGCAGCCAACTGGTCCGTTCGCTGTTGCCCAGCAGGTTGATCGCCAAATTATTGGGGTGGTCGTGTAGCCTCTGCATGTACCGCTTGCTGCTTTTCTTAATTTCGTCCTTCACCCAATGGAACCTGAGAAAGTAACAAAGTAGCTGCTCCTCCACGCTTTCCTCATCTCTGCAGCTTCTTCTATAAGGTATTAAATGGGATACTTCTATTCTTGTCAGTTTAAGAAGTGCTGCTGGATTTATTGATGTTCCGAAAAGCCCAAGTCCGCCTCTCCCGAACAGATAGGTTATAATTCTCACAGCGTTGCTGGACCAATGTACATGTGTGGTTATAAGGCTGAAGGAGACTAACGTCATATCGATTCCTTGTCAGCAAGGTAGTAGTCCACTCTCTGGCCAGCTCGATGATGCGGTTTTCGGTACCCAAATGAGGCTGCATCAGTAAAATTTGATGTGATTTGTTGGCTGAAGATTCTGAAATGTCAATTCGGCTTAATCTCGTTCCAATCTTAAATTTGTTCAGATAGCAAAGCAATTCCCACATCAATAATGGTGTTTCTTTCAATAGTACATATTTTAAAGTAAAATCTGGTCTTTAAGATTAAACTAAGAAGTGCGCCTAAATAAAGTTGCAAGTAAAGCTATAAAAAACCATCCTAACATAGCTGGTGTCGTTTACAAACTGCCCAGCTATTGACTTATATTAATCCAAATTAGTAATCGAATATATTTTTAGTGCAGTGCTGCTGAAGATCCACAATACGCTCATTCAATAACAGATTGCCTTTCTTCTATTCAACACCATTGTGGGGATTCTCTGGCCAAACAGGTTTTTGACCCACACTTCACATTTCTTTGGCAAGTTCTCACAGCCAATTCCAACAAAACCTCGGCTTGTCTCTGTGCCTCTGTCTGTATGTCTGCCTGTCTGTCTCAGTTATTTTTAAGTTTGACGTTCATTAGCTTTACCTCTATGGATGTCTACTGTGTGCGCAGCACATCTATCAATAATTGGCCGTCCGTCCACTGCTCTTTAATCAGCGCTCGAACAGAAGAAGCGCCGCCATAGAAGAATATTGTAGCCAGCAGGTGTTGTAATTTTTCTTTATTATTTTTTTTTTTTTAATTTTATTATAAAATGCCGGCACGGCATGAGGGCGTAGTTTGGTAGCCTAGCCGGCGGTTATATAACCCGGCTTCTTCTTGCTGGAGTACGTTGATTGGAAAATTGTAAATTTACATATTTTCTTTGAAAAAAATTGACTTGCAAGCAAGAAATTTTAAATATGCATCTCACTAATTAAATGTTTATGGCGCTAATGGCATTTTCATTGAGCAATTCCAAAGCCAACGGAAGCGGCGTGGAATATGATATATACATACATATGTGTGTAGATATGGTTGGTGGGAAAAGAAAAGATTACGAGCGCAATAAAGTTTATCTATACGACTATAAAAATGTCGTGTTCATGGAGTTCTTCAGTTCTAGCGATGGTCATTAAAGAAATGGCCAAAACGTGAGCAGGGTGAGAAGAATTTGTAGTTGATCGTGCGCTGATTATGTAGTTTTATAATTTAATATCAATGTGTGCACAAAATGTATCCATCTACAAATATTATTGCTGTTCGTTGCGATATTCATTTAAAGTTTTCAATGATCTTCAACTAAAGTCCCTCTTTAGACATTGATGGGTCAGATGGGGTTCCCTTGTCGCAACAATCAAATAAGATTGTATATGAGCACGTTGTATATAAGCACCGTATATACAGTTACAAGCAATGCATTATAAACAAGGAAAATAATACGATATAGTCACAAGTGAACTTCAATTTTAAGAGTGGTTTATTGTTAACAGTGCAGGGCTTAGCATAGGCATACATATGTTATCTAATAGACCTCAAACTAACAGCAATAGAGCATCGCGAGACTAGCCTGTTAACAGCTGTTACTAGAATTACAGTACAGATATGAGCGTATTTACATTTAATTGGCCTTCAAACAAATTAAATCTAGCCTTCAAATATTTCTTGACTTAATCTACTTCTTTGAAATATAAATGTGCCCTTACAGAAAATTTCTAGGCTACATGAATTGTTTATTGTTAACAGTGCAGGGCTTAACATACGCATACATGCATACTATGTTATCTAATGGACCCCAAACTAACAGCAAGAGAGCAACGCGAGACTAGCCTGTTAACAGCTGTTACTAGAATTACAGTACAGATATGAGCGTATTTACATTTACATGGCCTAAAAACAAATTAAATCTAGCCTTCAAATATTTCTTGACTTAATCTACTTATTTTAAATATAAATTTTAAAATAAATATAGACATTTTCTAATCTACATGAACATTTTATACCTGAACTTTAGATTTTTCTTGATTCTGCAAGCTCGAAATGTTAGTCTGAGTTCCACATTGACTTAATTGATCGCATCGCATTAATCGACCCATTGTTTGTGACATAATATGTACATGGGATTAAAATTCCACAAAATCTTTCTATAAAAACAGAAAAAAAGTTTTCAAAATTCTAAGATCGCTACATATAAAGCTATAAAATTCTGTTTGCATTTGAAAATAACTTTATTGATGACTGTCCGTTGCATGCCGTCTGTGTTTGTGATGAGCTCATCCGATTGTCAATAAAAACGACATTAACAACAATTCTACTTCACGAACGACAAATCACGGCTTTCAACGCTCTCTTGGCAGCCAGAAATATATGTACGAGTATGTGCCAGTTAAAAATAGATGTGCACATAATTTGTCAATTGCCACATACAAACTGTATCCGCTATAGAGCTATAGTCAGGCCCAGCTCAATTGACATTCACGTGCATTGGCAAATAAGTCAGAAGGTCATCTGGGAGCAGCAGAGGCCCACACAACTGGCAACTGGCAATTGATATGTTCCGGTCTCGTGCCTCTTGCCTGCCTAACGCCACTCAACCGTTAATGTGCTGCCCCACACACAGACAACAACTATACTTATGTATTATGGTACACTCGACTAGCACGATCTGCGCCACTAGACATCTAAGAAAATTTGACATCAAAGAACTCTCTAGACAGCAGGGTGATTAAACACAGTCGGATCAAAAATGTTCGCGTTTGATGATCTCTTAGAGTAATACTGAACAATTATCCATTCGTTAGTGATTATTTTCAATTCTACCGTAACTATTGATAGTAGCGGCACTGAATTCCATCGAAAAAAACTATTAAAACCAGCTTAGAATTGGTTCAATTGAACTACTTACTCAACTGAAAACCTTCTTTGCAATTCTCTTTTATCTAGCAGCTTAATTGTTTTGTTCATTTTAGTCACATTTTCCTACTTTTTCATTTTGTTCATCAGAGTTGCATTCCGATTAGTAAACATATACTTGCAACTCTTCTTAGCGCCTTCTTATAGGTGTTTCTTCTTCTTACTGAAAACCTTTCTGATTATCTTTTATAATTTTTCATTTTAGTCACGTTATCATTCTTTTTTATCTGAGTTCCATCCCGATTCGTAAACGTTGGTGTTTCTTCTTTAGAATTTTTGGGAATTGAAAAATGTTAATGAGAAAGTATTTTGAAGTATGGTATCGTTTTTATATTTAGATTATAGGTAATACAAATAACTTGTCCATATAATCTTTTCTATAGGAAGTATCAGGATTCAGTTATGTGTTGTTTTCTTACAATACAATTGTGGGACACAGATAGAGCTAGAACTTGAGATCCATTTCGCAATATAAAAGTGAATTGTTGAGGTCTTGGGCTACCCTGTTGTATAATCATTATTGCAGATCGTCGACATCAGCGCCGAGTTTTGTCGTCACTTCAATTGTGCGTGCCTTTGTTAGATTCGTCATGCCCTCTTGAATTTTACATATTTCTTTCTTTTGTTGAAGAAATGCTGGTAGTACATACATACAAGTTTTTATTTCTAAATATATTTATATGCAAGTGTGTAGGAAGATTTGAATTAAATTCTTTTGTACACTTGATATTACGATATTGTGATCTCGCACAACACGACAATTGTGCCGCTGATTGCGCCTTCAATCCCACTTATGGCTCCCAGTCAGCCTCACAGTCTCTTCACATTCCGAATCGCAGCAGGTATTTTATAATTCAATTAACAAAATTCGCTATGATTCGCCATTATGCGTGACACTCGACGTCGCATTTATTTTTAGCACTTGAACGCATTTGAAAAGCGTTTCAAGTGAGCAAAATCACTCGACTTTGAGGCGCCAGTCGCGACATGGCACTGGGGATCTGGCATCTAGGCATAATAAATTATATTTTTTTGTGCATTTCTGAGCCCCAAGTGCGAAACGTTTGCTGGAATTAAGCTGTAAGCCTCACTTGAGCTTTGAAAACATTGAATACATTTAAATGACGTTTATTTATGGTAACTGTTGCGAACGTTACTTTTTTTAATTTATTTTAAAACTTCATTCTTCTATATGCACGTGCGGCGCTTTTAAAGCTTCCGTTTTGGTTGGTTCCGCTTTAAAAGAAAGTTGTGGTGTGTTTGCACAAATAAAATCCATTTCTGGCTCATTGTAATGCCTAAAATAATTTGCAGCTGTTTGTTCTGCGACAAGTTTTTAAGTTCCCTGTTTACTTTATTTTTATTTTTATAGCAAATCAAAGATGAACTGTGCGAGGTTGTTTCCGAAATGGAGGCACTCGATGTGCCAGAAGACTGCAAGCATTCCAACAAGGATAAACAAATGTCGATTGGACGTAAAAAGTTTAACATGGATCCGAAGAAAGGTGAGAGACGAACACTTTTAAATATTAGTTAATAGGAATGACTACTTTTTTATAAATATAATGTTCTATAGAAATTAATAAATTAACAGCAATTTCATTCAACTGTTAGCTAATTAGTAAACAGCTGAAGTTGCTTGAAGCGTTTCTAAAAATAGCAGCAGAGAGTAATGAGGAAGAAGTGTCGGTAATTGAGCGAATTTTGAGTGAATTTACAGAATTTATAAGCCGTCTGTTAATTTGCCGACGGCAAACAAATAATAAGTATTTGTATACTTAACATTCTTAATGCAAATATGTACAATGGACGGGATGTTCCGAAACAGGCTTAAAGTCAACACCTTTAAAAGGAAATGTTTCGTTTGCAAATCGTATGCTTATGTTTTAACTCCTAAGTGAGATTCTTTTTTACTTGGCTAGTTGTTAGCAACAAAAGTCGAAAGAGGGGACTGATTTAAATTAAATCTCAATGCCGACACACGCACCCAAGCAATCCGTGGAACGAACAAACCGACGACAGACAAACTGTTTTATAATTGGGCTGCAAATTGAGGGCGACATAATCGAAATGGCGTATCCAGGCATGGAGAGAAAAATTACCATGCGACGAGAAATGGTCATAAAAACGAAGAAGAGGCGCAAGTAACGCCGCCTTTTGTATTCATCGAAACGATGGTGATGATGATGTCAACGTTAATTTAATAAAGTAATGAGCCCTCCATAAAGTGCAGGGAATGTCACGCGTTGCAGTCCAAGGCGTCTGTCTGACTGTGCGGGTATCTTTGAACGCTGACAAATTTGACAGTTCGCTGACATTTGAAGTACATTCTCAGCGTTCAGAGCCATCAGCATGCAAAGCTTCTATTAAATGAAAATGTCAATGTGGTGCTGGCATTGAACGATCGCCAGTCCACCTGTGAGAGGCAGGCAGCATTGGAAATGATCAACATCGATCCAACTTCATCGCATGGCAAAGATGATCATGAAAGCGAATAAATGCTAAAAAAAAAGAAGAAAACCTCGAACAGACACCGCCTAGAAAAGCAGATTTAAATTAGATTTGACACTTTTTTACAACCTACCAGCTCTTTCAATGTTCATTTAAATTAAATAGGAGACATTTCTTTTACCCTTTTAACAACTTTGATGCAACACATCGTTTTTTGTAAAAAAAAAAAAAAAAAAACAAAGAATATTTACATTTGATTATTAAAATCAGACAAAATGACATACGAAGGGTTAAAGCGTTGTTGCCTACTTCTCCATGTTCTGTATCCAAAACAGCATAAAATAGTAAGTTGGTTAAAATTTGCATTAAATCGCAGCTTAAATAGAACTCCCACCACACCATTTGCCCACTTCAATCCATCATCTTGTTTATTTTATGAACGTAAATGGGAATCATTAAAGTAATCGGGGAGAGAACTTTTTACCGCAGCGTCATAAATTATGAACGACAAGTTAAAATTAGGCCAACATACTATACATATTAGGAGACAGATCGGCAGCAGAGCATTTATTTATATATATCCTGCACGAAATTCTAAATAACAGCACAATAAAAATGCTAATCCACATTTAAGTATGCTATATATTACGATATGTATGCATACATACATAGATGCGTGCGTGTGTGTGTGTAAAACTGTGTGTGTGTGTGTGCCTCGACAGGGTAAATCAACGGCGAGCGACGACCCGATAACAACAAAGATATGTGTGGAGGAGAGGAAAGGAACGTATGGAATGAAATGGCAGGGAAATCCAATCCAACAACAAACTGACGTCGACGCGTCTTCTTTTATTAAAAACATGCCAATGAGCCGTGTTGGGTGGATGGTGAGGAGAGGGAGGAGGAGGAGGAGGGCGCGTTAGGAGGCGTAGGGATGGGCACCATTTGTCGCCTTATCGGCCGATTATCAACGACATGTCACACACAAATACACACACACACACACACACACTTATATTAATAGCACACAAATGTGCCATCATAACGCACAGAGGCCGCTAGAGAAAGTCAAATGGTGTTCTGGAAGGGGATGGGGCGGGGGAGCAGTGTTGCCAACTTGCCGATGCTAATCGCGTGTGACGCTTGAAGCGGCAACAAAAACTTTTGCAACTGCCCTCCTTATGTTTCTCAGCTACAGACGCTGTGGCTCCTGTTTTGACTCCTGTCGCTATTGCTCCTTCCGTCCCTGGCCACTGCTGTTCGGTTGATGCTGCTGTTGTTATTGTTGTTGTTTTCGTTGTTGTTGTCTGTCATTATCGATGCCATTTGCGTCATTATTGTAGTCGTTGTCTTGATGAACATTTGTGTATTTATGTAGATGTGTCTCTGTCTGTGTGTGTATTTATTTTGGCAACAACTACAATTGGTATCTGGGATGCCGCGATTTATTATAGCTATGGAACAAATGCATAATCTATCGAAATAGAACCTCAACGTAATGAGTTAACTAAATATTTATTTAAGATCTGTCCTGGTTGAACCGAGTGCCTACTCAGGAACAAACTCACATTTTGGGCCACAATTGAAAAGTTTAAATGAAAACATTTGAAGCTACAGATCCAATATCTGAACAGAAAGAGGAAAGAACAAATAAGTTAGATACTCAGTTAGAAATGATTCAACAATTTGTGGTTATGCGTCAGCGGGATTTTCATCAAGCGAGCTAAAAACCCTTTAACCCATTAACTGCTTGCATATTATACGCAAAAAAAGTTATTCTATCTTTATTTTATTGCAAAACAGAGCTAGTTCGAATCTTGTAAGATTTTGAACCACTTTTTTGGTGAAGAGTCGGTTTTATGCCTATTCAAAAGGATAATGGTTATAATAATAGTTCCGTTCAATTGAAAACATATCGTTTGTTCCTTTTACAATATTATGAAATCTTAGCAGCGTAGTCGAGAAAAGTTAGAGACAATTTCTTGATACTTGTCACATTAAGGAACTAAAGCATCTTTTCAATTAATTTTCTTAATTTTGTGCTATTTTTTGGAGAGAATCAAAACAAACACTATTGAGAACAACTAACTGCAATCAAAAACATAAAAGTGATGTAAGCAATTCCAATGGCAGACATACCACTGAAAAGATTGGCCCATTGTTGGCATTCCAAGCAAATTGCCAAATAATCAAAGGACGCACCCAACTTGTTGGTTGTTCAACAAAACCGAAAAAATGTGTTTAATATTTTTCGTATAGTATTTTTTTCGATTGTAGTTTTATGGCAGCACCTCAGGCTAAATAATAACACGCGATGGAGTTTTTGCTTTGCTTTGTGTTGTTTTGTTTGTTTTTTTTCATATCTCGTTCATTTTAATGCCTTTTTCGCGCCTGGGTCTATTACTTTTGTATGTGTCTGAGTTGTTTTGCTCAATTTCCGGCTTTTATCGCAAATTGTTTGCCGCTTCGCCCTCAGAGCTCCAAAGGCTGCTCAGTTCGTTTCGTTTTGATTGGCAAATAATGACATGGATGACATGAATGGCGCTCCTTCTTCGTTGGCTTCCCATCAGCAATGGCTGCCCATTACTTGTGTGGTTTGTGTTGCGCCTCAGTAGTTACCGATAAAGTATATATATAAACAAACTATATACGAGTATGTACATACATGAATGCTATAAACATAGTCAGCGCATTTTAGTTGGAATCGTTCAGTGCTTGGCCTGCATTTGAATTTCCGGGTGCATTGTTGTTTATTTATCAGCAAAATTCGTTTTTATTCGTCCCCCAAGTATTTAGAATATTATTTTGTATACTCGTATACAATTGATTTCTCTGTGCAGTCATTTATCTTTTTATCACACTTGGGTATTTGGCATCCGATCCACTAAAAAATGAGAACTAAAAACATGTATACTAGGTAGATTTTGTAATGAAAAATCCTTGGCTTTAGATCTAGACGAATCTAGAGTCTTGCTTAAACTTCCGGGAAATTCTCTAAATAGTAAGAATATTTGAGTTGAAGCCACATACTTAAAACGCAACTGTCTTTGTTAATACATACTTTTTCGGGTATTTCCGTCTTTTTATTACAAAACGATGAAAGGATAAATAAAACCTTTTATTTTATTTTTAAAAAACTTTAATCAACTGATGTCCTAACCCCTCTTATGCTTGCAGGTATCGAATATCTTGTAGAGAATCGACTATTGCTCCATAATGCCCAGGATGTGGCGCAGTTTCTCCACAAGGGGGAAGGACTCAATAAAACGGCAATAGGTGGGTTTATCGTCTGCTTGCTTGCTTGCCTCGCACAAAACTGAAATTCAATTAAACGCAAACCGTTCATAAATTTTAATGTTCATTTACTGACTTTCCAGGCGATTACCTCGGCGAGAAGAACGATTTCAATGAGAATGTGCTGAAGAAATTTGTGGAGCTGCACGACTTCACGAACCTCATACTGGTGCAGGCTTTAAGGTGCGTCCAATACTTATTTCTTTAATACACAGCCACTAAATTGTAAGTTATATTTGTATTTGACAGACAATTCCTGTGGTCGTTTCGGTTGCCCGGCGAGGCGCAAAAGATCGATCGGATGATGGAATGCTTTGCTCAGCGCTACTGCCAATTGAATCCGGACATATTCACCAACACGGATACCTGCTATGTGCTCAGTTTTGCGATTATAATGCTCAACACATCGCTGCACAATCCATCGGTAAGTAAAGGGCGAAATACTTATTATTATAAAAGGAAGTTGGGCAATGAATGTCCTTGATTTCAAATTGAATTAGACTTATACTGGCTATTTGTCAAATTCTAAGGACAAACGAGAAATCAACGTAAGGGAAATAAGGCCGGATTAAGCGATCAGAAGAACCATCACTAGGTCCATACTTTATTTTCAAACTCATTCATTTTTTAACAGAGATCACAAATGAGATAAGAAACCCATAGATGTTCAATCGATGTATAATATAGAGCTTATTTTGAACTCCTAACCGCTGGCTCTGCTGGCTATATTCTTGTTCTTAGTTCAGTTGACAGAAGCTAGAACAGTTTATAAGTCGAAGTAAGCTTTGATAGGATAATACTGTACGTCCAGCAAATGTCTGGAATATAGCCAAAAACTGTCCACAGTTTGGCTTTACCTCTCAGAAACAACAGCATTTCACGATTAGGCAGCTATATTCTACTTATCGTGAAAAGCTGAAAAAGTTCAGTCTGGTGTTCGCCACTAGATTTTTACTTCATCTAGAGACTTTTCATATTGTAGGAAACTCCCCAAGACCCCTCAACATTATGTTATTGAATAAATAATGGCTATAAGGCATTGTCAGAGAAACAAATCCGAGGTATGTATCTGAAATAGATAGAGAAGAACCGACCACGTCTGCTCGTCTTCGCTTCCTCCGGAAATCTTGGCAGCGACAGGAAGTAGTTGGTCTTGGCCCAAAAAAAAAAAACACGTACAGAGAAGCAAAAGAAAGCAGCACTCTGCTTGGCATATCCGCCTTACGTGTGCCCTGCCGTCCTTCAACTGCGAAATTGAAATTCTGGCTACAGTATCATCGCGTGATGTTGCGACTCAACGCATTTCCGCATTTGTTGCCTCGTTGCCTGCCTATCCCAACGCTTGACGATTTGATACAAACACTTATAGGATATACTATAAATAGGTCAAGTATAAATTGTTTCATGAGTCACGGCTGCCGCATCCGAGAAAACTCTCTGGCAACTAATTAGATTGTGTCGCAGTTATTGCTGCTCTCATCTAGTCGTGCACTCTGGTGCTAATTAACAATAATTTATAGATATTTTTAGCTTGCGTTGAAATTAACAAATCAGACAATGTTGACTGTGGTTTCTGTTACTGACCTAGAGATGGTGGCTGAATATTTCAAAAAACCACTATAGTTGAACTATCCATATGATATTATTTCGTCAGAGCTGGTCAGAGCTGAGCTGTATTCCTTAGAAAGCAATTTCTCAGTGTAGGAAATGCTGTAAAGCTCTTCAGTTCTACAGTAGAAACTCAGTAATATTTACCCTCTCTCCATTATTCCTCAGGTCAAAGACAAACCCACCGTTGAGCAATTCATCTCAATGAATCGTGGCATTAACAACGGCGGCGATTTGGCCCGTGGTCTCCTCGAATCCCTCTACGAATCCATTCGCACCGAGCCATTCAAAATACCCCAGGACGATGGCAATGATCTGATGCACACATTTTTCAATCCGGACAAAGAGGGCTGGCTCTGGAAGCAGGGTGGAAGGTAAGTGACGATAGTCCTAGGTCAGTAATCAAACAATCCAACTAAATATTTCTCTTCCTCCACAGATACAAATCGTGGAAGAGACGCTGGTTCATATTGAACGACAATTGCCTGTATTATTTTGAATATACCACAGATAAGGAGCCTAGAGGCATCATACCGCTGGAGAATATATCGGTGCGTGAGATCCATGATCGCAGCAAGCCGCATTGCTTTGAGCTCTTTGCGACTGGCGGCGCTGACATAATCAAGGCATGCAAGACTGATTCGGAGGGCAAGGTAAGTGTAGCTTTCTATTGGGTTAGGTCTAGAGCAATTTATCCGGTAGATCATTTTTAAACTGAATAAACGGGCCTGCTTACAATATATTTTTTAAGCCGATCATTAGATGAACACAGATAACAACTTTTAAAACCAAATTAGAAACTTACTTGGGCACAAATATGAAGAGAAAATATGTCCCTGAAATCGAGCGAGTGTTTTTATGGGAACCAATCGTTTTATTTCGCAGCTGGCAACACTGGCACAATCAGCTGTGTCTAATTTGCAATCCGATTTCTTCATTGCTTACACGAGTGAGCTTGTGTTTTTGTGTTTTTTTCTTCTAAAAGTGATTTCATTGCAATAAAGGAGTTTTGTTAAATGTTGTGTAAAGAATGGAACTTATGCTGCAGAAACGTTCAGATTATTGCAGAAAATTCACGATAATCCGGCTAAAAAATGCAAGTTTATAAATGGCATAAAATGTTCAAAGAGGAATGAGAAAGCTGTGAGTTCCTTACTAAAAACTGTTGAAGAATACGTTAAGCAAATCATAGAATTGGCCAAAGACTGAATATTGCTGATGCAGTTCGCATTCTCAACTCCATTTTAAGAGATCCTTTGTGCCTCGTAAAAGTAAAATGTGATTTGTTTCAAAAAACACTGCATTCGTTCGTAAACTTATCTCGGCCGGCTTATCCAGATTATGGCGTTTAGCAGCATTATCCCCTAATATTCGTGAAAGCAGTGCTACATTTGCATATACAGAATTGTGTCATAATATCCAGATTGAATTCGGACTTTGTCGTCATCTGCATAGTTACCGTTACCAGGAATGTTCTTCTTTTTTTTACCCCGGGATCACTAGAGGCTGCTTAAAAGACCATTATTTATGTGTGTGTAAGAAGATTTTCACAGTTCTGTTTATTAAATTCTTCTAATTCTGAACTTTACAGGTTGTTGAAGGAAAACACACCGTTTATCGCATGTCTGCCGCAACGGAGGAGGACCAGCAGGAGTGGATAAAGCGCTTGACGCAGTCAATATCCCATAATCCCTTCTATGATATCCTAGTTCAAAGGAAGAAAAAGGCGCTGAGCAAAAGTTAATATTAGGCAGCATGCGTTAGAGGAGACGCGCCTTCCAGGATCTCAGTGAAGCACTTCAACAGTGTGTGTGTGTGTGTGTGTGCGTGTGCATGTGTGTGTCTGTGTGTATTGCCCGCCGCAATCTTAACCTCACTCTTGTCGTCTATCTAATAGTATACGTATTCATATCCCTGGAAACATCATTTGTTCGCAGCCTGTTGTTGTTCGTTCAATGTGTAACTTATACTCAAATCTTCATCACACGCAGACGCACATTATTATGTAAAAATTGTCTCTATTGTTGTGATATAATTTATTTACGTTAAGCATTAAAATACGAGAAACCTATGTAAGGGGCATCCCCCAAAAAGAGAAATATAAACATGAAAAACTCTCCATTAGTGCAAATTATACTTTTCAGTTACTTACATCATACATATTATATAATATATGTCTTAAACTTAGCGATATGCGATATTCTTTACAAATTAGTTGCCTATCTCCATATACCCTAGACATGAAACATATCCTAACCCTCTAGAATTGAAAAACGCGAAACCTTTATTGTTTTTGATTGGCAATGATTGATAAACATTGATCAACTTTCAATCATCAAAGAAAACATGTACATTGGAATACTAGACTTCTTTTGAGAATGTCTAATATGTCTAATATGATATTAAAAATTGGTTGCCTTTTCCAAACATCAGTCAAGTGTGTATAAAAAAATGTACATAGTTGTCAATTTTGATAGAATCGAATCGAAACGAACCAACCGTAAAGTGTTCCTGCCAACTAAAATGATTAGTGTACATAATTGTAAATTGTAATTGGAATGAATTTATTGCTTAGATTTGGAATGACATCAAAGCTTTGTACGAGTATATCTGGGCCAGCAATTATGAGATTTGAAAGCCATAAGATGCTGCTGATTTAAGATTAGTTTCTTAAGCATCTGTGATATCAGGGATTCAAAAATCATAGCTTTGGCATAAGGTGTTCATCGAAGTGTGCTGCCTATCATATGTAAGTTTCCAAATCGAGTTGCGAAGTGTGTAAGACCCCTCCCCACCCCCTTAGCGCACATCTTTCCTTGTTTCTCAACATAATATATTGGATTCCGTTTCCAATTTACTGGCTTAGTTGTAAAAAGAAACCGACTTATCTAAATACGAAATTTGCAAAAAGGGCCAAGCATTTTGCAATATGTATGTATAACAAATAATAATATCTACATATGCTATTCAAACCTGTACCTATTCAAGTGTATAATACTTAGTTCTAAGTCTGTATTGTATGTGTTTAGCCTTTTCTTCGACCAGATCTTACTATTTGTACTTCCTTAAATAATGCCTGAGTAATCACGATACAGTTAGTCCATGTCTTTAAACAAATCGAATTCTGGGTACGAATATGCGTATATGCCAAAAATAATGTGCGTTTTAGCATTATTAAGTAATATACATACATACATATGCGCTATATGCCAACTCTGTACATACGTCTACATAGAGCGTAGTAGTAATAATACATATAGATATTGGATGTCACATATTTGTAATTCGTAGCTTTAAAGAACATTTTGTATTGCTATATAAAATATTTATACAAACATGAAAAATGCTATATAAAATAAACATATATATCGAAAAAAAAAAAAAACATTATAAGAAATTATTTAAGTTTTTTGGCTGCTCTTCCTGGTTGCCAAAAAAAATCGGAATGAATTGAGGAACAACTCATCTCCCCAAAATATCAGCCCATTGGAAATATTCTCTCATGCCCCCCTGTACTTAAAGACAGAAAAGGGTGTACAGAAATGTAATGTGTGCCAGAAATAAATTTTTCTCGGGACGCTATGTTATTTCAATAATATGGCCTTTGTCTTCTTTTTTTAAAACATCTATTAATTAGCAAAATAAAGAACTTGGAGGCATTTCATTATTTTGTTTATGGACAAAAGCTTTCAAGGAGGGGCAGACCGTCTTTTTGACTTTTCAAAACTACCGCCATATAGTAAAATAAAGATACCATAAAATACCACAATGCTTGGTATTTTTTGCGGGCACACAGGGTGATTCCGATCTTAGGCAAAGGCATATACATGTAGGAGAACCCGTTGGAATGTTTTAGAAAATAATATTTATTTATCAATATTGCTAATGCCCGTCTTCTCGACCTGCGTGAGAAGTTCCTGGAGCTTGTTGTCAAACAATTCGCATCGTATGGGCATCTCCAGCGAATAGAATGGATTTTTGAGCACATAATCTGAGTACAGCTCGTATATCTTGCGCAGTAGTAGATCCATGCCATTGAGGCCGGTCTCCGATATCACAATAAACTTAACGCCAGTGAGCGTTTGAAAACAATGTAACGTAAAGGTATCCGCCTCCAGCGACTCAATACCAGAACTTTTTGGCTCGGGACTTAATTGGCAGGCCATGGCATATAGTTGATAGAACATACTGGCCAAAAAGATTTTCTCATTGGTGGTCATCTTGGGGCGTGTGAACTTCAGATTTATTGGATAGTTTTCCGCCGCCTCCAGGGTCGCTTTCACGTCGCGTCCATCGTCCAGCGTGCCGCCGTTGACAGCTATTCCGTTGACCCCGACAAGTACATGGCCAACTACAAAAGTGGACAAAGGCGAACAATGAATTTGGAGCAATACAAGATGAAAACATTTGCCAAGTCCTACCATTAATGCCGTCCTTGCGATTGAATGACACGGACACCTTCTTAGCATCGTAGTCCAACACCAGTTCCAGGGGGTAGGTGAAGACACGCTCGTGTTCAATGCGCGGCACATTGTTGTCCAGGTTGAAAATAAGTCCGCCCGATTTGCTGACTATATAGACGCCATAGATAATCATTATTTTCTATTTATAGCAACAATTATGTTGATAAAACCGTAGCGCTTCAGCAATGCGCTTAAAAATACCAAGCGCGTTTGCGATATCGATAACAGCCACAAATAACAGCTGTTAGAAAACCATCGATGCTCAGGCGTAGCGATGAGAAATGCCGTGACTTGCCATACCCGATATTTAAAGAAACTTCACGCCTTCACTTGCTATTTTATAATAATAGTGTTTTATACTAACAATATACTAATATGTTATACAATTTAGTGGGATGGTATTGTGAGCAACTTCTGTTTGTTTTTTTTTTTATAAAGTATTGAGTTACGAATCAACCTGCAGCTTTGGCCATAACGCGACAGTTGTTTATTTATTTATTTTTTTGTATTTTATTTATTTTAAGAGACTATACTTACAGAATTTAAGACTGCAAGTACATATTATATTCGTAACATCGTGAGAAACAAACGCACTTCTGTAATACTTTATGTGTATTCGTGAGTAATTCAAATATGTGCGTGATTTTAAAAATATCGCCCATCTCTATAGCTATCTCATTAGTAGTACTCAATTAAAAATAAACACAATTGATTTTTTGTCCAAAAATATAATTTGCAACGCGCTCCACTGGTTGTGACAATAGCATCGAAATGGGCTCCGATGATCTGAGCGCAGGGGATAAAATCCTGAAGGGATTTCAAATAAACTACATGATACTGCGCGATGCGGACACCGGCAAGGTAATCTGGCAAGAGAATAAGGACTTTTCGGCCCCAGACTTGGAGCATGAGGCCCGAGTGCCCGTTAAAATTCTGGACATGCGTGCCGTCTCGCGTGAAATTAATTTTAGCACCATCGAGTCCATGGAGAACTTTCGTCTGGACCAGAAGGTGCTGTTTAAGGGGCGAATCATGGAGGAGTGGTTCTTCGAGATGGGCTTCGTGGGCGCCAACACCACCAACACCTGGCAGTCGACAATCGAAGCGGCGCCCGAGTCCCAAATGATGCCAGCCAAAGTCTTAAATGGCAATGTGACGATTCAAACCAGTTTCTATGACAACGAAACACTCATCACAAAATCGGTTGTGCGCTTGTACTACATTTAAAGCCAAGTGCGGTGCTTTTCGGAGAAGCGGCGGCGGCGGCGGCGGCGGCAACTAACACTTTATTGGGGGGTCGGCCCACGCACTCACATAATACGCCCCCTCCGGCACCGCACTTGCCCCACAGAACACTCAACACTCGACAAACTTGAGGTGTTCATCGCCGCTGCTGCTCCTCTTTCTCTTTCTCATGCATTTCTGCCGCTGACGAATTAATAATATTCACGAAGTATTTTCGTTTAATTCTCTCGCTTTCGCAATGTCAATTCAAATAGAAATCATCTTCGTCGATCTGTGGAAAACGGAAACATCTGTTACTTATGGAAAATTCTATATTCTGTGCATTTGAATGCAAATGTTAGTGCGCTTTTATACACATATTATCTTAGACTAATGCATTTTAACTTAATTTTAAAACTATTATTTATTTTATTACAAAATAATTAACGAATGTTATAAGTACCTAAAAGCATACGTTTACGAATAAAAACCAAATGTAAATTTAATCTGGCCTTGGAAATATCATTGGCGGCGGCATGTCTTCTAGAAGTTTAAATTAATTTATTTAAAATACCAAAATTATTGTTGTTTACAAAACTCGTGGATATCAGATTTGTTTAAGATAGCTTTACAAATAGTAACGACGTCAATGTAAAAATAACGCAGGGGAATAGTGGAGACGAAGCTTTGCTCCTGAGGATGGCGTGTCCACCTCTTCCGCTGTTGCATGCTGGACTACGAATCGTAAGCTGCAAAGACAACTTCCATATATGTATACCTATTTTGTAAGGCATACCAGATAGCTTATTGTGTTACTAGATTTAAACATTTATGAGAATTTGAGCATTGAGCTAGTGAGCAGCTCATTAGCACTGACAGCGGCCATGCGAATTACGTGGTTTCTGCATAAGCAGTTAGTTCACACGATTTTAAAAAAATACATACTATATACAAGACGAACTTTTATTCAGTTGAATCTTAAGACTGCGCTTTTTACGTGACCGCTGCTGTCTGGCAGTTATTTTAAAAGTAAATCAAACGAAATTCGGTTCGGTGTTTCCATTTATAACTTATATCGTTGCTAAATAATGCTTATCCTTATAGTGTATTTATTAAGGTTCGCTAGATATGCATGATTAATTTGGTTATGTCCTTAGGTTGGCTAGATAGTGCTTATCTTCATGGTGTTTTTATTTGCTATCGCTTGGCAATCTTATGTTTAGCTGTTATGTTGTCTGGGGCCTTAACTCGCTTTCGTTCGTAACAGGCTGGGAAGTATATACTCTTTAATTAAATATTTAAACGCTGCTTTTATCTTCCATACAAAAATACATAACTTTAAATGTGCTCATAGATCTAACTGACAAAAAATTAAATGAAGAATGAAGTTGTAACTTATATTTTTGAGCTCTTGAATCTGACTTATTACAACTTGTTTTTGTTTATAATGTATATGCTTTAAAAATGTTTATCAATTTTAAATAAAGTAGTGAAAAATTGTTATAAAAATCGAATTTTACAAATTAGGTTCACATTTTTGTTTAGCTATTTGTCGCTTTAGTGGCTACACAAAAATGTTTATGTAGATTATTCAGATCTCGGCCGCGTTTATTCTTACGACTCTTACTTCATTATGGTTTTACTCATTAGGCAATATTTAAAAAATTACTTGATGGTTTAAAAATTCTTTAGGAGTGGTTTCATATTAAAAAATATTTAACTGTCTTGCCAAATCTAAGAACAATAAATAAATAAAAGAAAAATTTTTGCATACGCCTGCTCATTAAAAAAATTTAAATTGAAAAAATGAAATTAGACAACAGTTTTTTCCTTGGATAATCAAATGCACTTTGGATGATAGAACTGTTTACTACAAATGAGAATGAAATTATGATTGAATTGAAGATTTATAAATCCAAGCAAGAGTTTTCCATCCTATGGGTTTGGGTTTATTGTAGCTTTGTGACTATTTTTATGTAAGACACACTCAGCCGGTTCATATGGTTTTAAATCTGATTAAATGTGTGCATACATTACTTCTTTTTTCTATAGATTCTTGAGTATACATATTTGCGTTCCTATCTTATGATTCTTTTATGTTAATGCGCGCTTTTTAAATGCTGTCTCTGATTATGTAACATAACTCTCGCCAAATCTGCCGTTGAGTTCAAAGGCGATGGCATTTTTCTGGCAACATAATCACATTTCTTGTAGGCTGTAGCTAATTGAGGCTTAGAGTTTATGCGCCTCATATAGATTATTAATCAAGCATAATCTATTAAAATATGCCAAACCAACCGGCAACCGGTTCAAGTAGACAAATGTTTCATCCATCTGTGCAGAACAGATTGACAAAGGGAGTTCAAGTTTCTTTGGCGACTGCTTGTCTTGGTCTTGTTGACAAAGACAAAGCTCGACCCAATTTCTAAGACTTAGCATACAAATTACAACAACAAGAAGAAGCTGGGCTCCTCATCATCCGCAGATGTTGGGCTTCTGGCTATTTGGCTAAAGCTCCACTTGTGAGCTCGTGATCTGTTCTCTAATTATGCGTTTCGCGGCGGTGGGAGAAAGTCTTTATTTTGGCAGCTCCGCAGAACTTGGCAACAGTTCGTTGCGTAGCGGCAACGAGAACGCTTCGAAATGGCAAAAATAAGCGGTTTAATATTGGGGCTATTCCTCATCGTTTCGGTGCTCGCTGTGCTGCAAGGTGCGGCGGGGCAGCAGCCACAGAAGCAGCGACCCCGGCCGGCCACACAGGCGGTACAGGCCGTGGCTAACAAAAACAAAAACAACAATCGTCCCAGACCACACAAGAAGCAGCCGAACAAGGGTCAGCAGGAGAAGGAGCAGGATAAGAAAAAGTTAAAGTTGATTACGGTGGATGTGCCGGATTTGGGTCGCTTGCGAGGTCGCACACTGCAGTCGGAGTGGACGGGAAAGCCTATATTACAGTTCCTGGATATTCCCTATGGCTCAGTGCATCAGCGCTTCAAGCCAGCCGAGCCCACCGGCCAATGGAAGGGCGTTCTACAAGCGCATCGCCATCATGCCGGCTGCCCATCAATACAGGACCTCGAAAAGTTTGCCAAGCTTGAGAAGAGCGGCGAAGATGTGGAGGACTGTTTGAGGTTGACAATCAACACCAGAAAGGCAGGAAATAACTCTCACTATCTGAATGACTTGGGATTTAAATAAATTATAAATCGCTTTCTCTTTTTTAGATGGAGGGCAAGCTGTCGCCCGTTATGGTCTACATTCATGGGGATTTCTTTTATGAGGGCGACAGCATGGAAGCCGCACCTGGATATTTGCTGGAGAAGGATGTGGTCTTGGTGTCGGTGCGCTATCGCTTGGGCCCGTTCGGCTTTTTGTCGACCAAGAGCGAGGAAATGCCTGGAAATATGGCCGTTACGGATATTATTTTGGCTCTTCAGTGGATACAGGAGCATATTTCCGGTTTCGGGGGTGACCCAAAGAGAGTGACCCTCTTCGGTCAAGTGGGCGGGGCAGCACTTGTGAATGTTCTCACCCTGAGTCCAGCTGTGCCGGCGGGTCTCTTCCATCGAGTCATCTATCAATCTGGCTCGGCCCTATCGCCTGCCTTCATTACAGACTCACCGTTGGCGGCCACCAAAGCTATTGCCACCATTGCGGGCTGCCCTGTTAAAAAGCTGGATGCCCTACACAAGTGCCTGAATCGCCTGAACACAACCATGTTGCTGGCCTCCTTCACGGTGCATGCCGACAACACGCCCGCCCTGAGCGGGGGCACCTATAGCGGAGTCCAGCTGGTCATTGGCGGACCCTCTGGCATACTGCCCGAGCATCCGGGACGTCTTCTGGCCGCTGAAAAGTTCCAGGCCTATCCCACGCTAGGTGGCAGCGTTAAGCATGGCGGCTCCTTTATGTTGCGAGGTAACCTGAGCCCTCACTTTTAATGGACTTGCATAATATTCAAGCATTCCTTGCCAGACATTTTCATCGACACTTTCAATGAGACTATACTGGACGACTCGATGACCGGAAAACAATATATTGAGAGCATCATCGAGCAGACAAATGGAGCTGATCCCACCGGTGCCTGGCTTAAGTTTGCCGAGGAGGAGATCTTCAGCGCTGAGGATCTGCGGAATGGCAGCTTCAAGCGCCTCACGCCCGGACTCCTTGATGTGAGTAGAAGGCAGGGCAAGTTAATGTTGGAACCTTGGCTCATTTACTCCAAAATAGCTTTGCAGCACAATTTCCCTGAAGAATCCCGTGCTGCTCGTGCTGCAGGCCAATGCCAAGAAGCTACCCAACAGCACCTACCTCTACACTTTCGACTACGAGAGCGACCTGAACCGGTATGCCACCCCACCAGATGAAGTCGTGGACGTGCCCTTCGACATGGGCGTCTCTCTGACCGATGACAACCTGTACTTGTTCCCCTGGCCGCGCTTCAACGTGTTGAACTCGAATCGCGATATAAAGATTGCCAACCGTATGGTAGATCTCTGGACCTCATTTGCAACCAGTGGAGTGCCTGCGGCCAAGAACATGCCTGCCTGGCCAGCCTTGAGCGATGAGGCCGGTCCCTACTTAAGGATCGGACGCACTGTCAGTATTGGGGACAACTATTTGGACGAGTACAGCATTGCCGTTCAGGAAGCCAAACAGGGCTACAGCATAGTCAATGAGGATTACTATGATCTGGCGGCGGTATTGCGAGATTTCGATCAACAGGATCAGGCTGAGAATGATGATGAGGATGAGCAAGGCAGCGATGAGACCGAGGATGAAACCAATGCCAATGAGGCGCGTGGTCAGACCTTGGTTTTCATTGCAAAAGGATCAAACCGCAGGCAACACCATAAAGATTCAATCTAAACTACTCACTCATTAACGTAAACATTTAATTTATTTCTAGCTTAACTCAGTTCTTGAAATAATAAAACGATTTAAGACAATTGCCAACGCAAAGTATTGTCTTCAAATTAATTTTTTTTTCTCTTGCAGTTTTCCAAACTAATTTGTTTTTGTCTCTTACAGTCATAAATTATGTTTACACATTCTATGCCATTTTGATTTATATATTCATCCAAAATGAGTTCAAATTATCTTTTTAGCTATATTTATAGCAAAGAGTACTTGCATTTAAGTGGTTTCTTGCTTTAATATCGCCGAAAGTTGCATTACACTGTTCTCTACTCTTTTAAGCTATGGTCAGACAAGCATTTTTTTGCACAAAAATTTGTTTAATTACAATAATTCTTGTAATGTTCATTCAAAGAATAACACTGCTTTACATAAAGAAAGACTATTATTAGAACAAGCCACACGAATTTTATTCGCGAGGCATTTTGATCAAATTGAATTTATTTGTCTGTCTGATCGCAGCTTTTTATTCTTCAATATTGATTGGCAAGAAAAGTTAACTCTTTGGGACCGCAAATTAATGCTTTAATATTATCTAAAAAAAAAGAGGTTACCTAAGTTTAAAAATAGCTGTTTAATTTATTAATTTCTTCCATCTACAAAGTTCATTGTGCATATTTGTCAGAGCTATGATTGTCGAAATTGATAAGAAGTGTTTTTTTTATCAAACGTTAGCAATAGCTATTTCTTGGAATAAGTTTTTATACTGAAAAGACTTAACCCACATTGATTCTATAACTAATTTGCAAGGATATAAAAATATATATTCTTGAACATTAAGAGTATCATAAGATTTACAAGGACTGGCGCATAATATTTGTGATCTAACTTCCCTTACATTATTAATCTCTTAAAGTCCCAAGTCACCGTTTTAGCCAATGAAGTCAAAATAAATTTAGAGTTAGTAAGAATTTAGGTTAGTAAATTCGAATAATTTTGATATAACCAGTAAAGTAAAGTACACCCAGACGAGTAAAAAGAAACGGTCATATGACATTTCTCTTCAATAAAATTCCATCTAACACAGAGTCTAAAGTTCTTTTGGTAAGGCTACTAGAAAGCTTCTTTTCAAAATTCGTAGCTATTTTTTAAGAACATACAATTATTATAAATAGGTTTGAAATTGTATTGTATTTAGTAAAATATTAATATTATTATTATAAAAATATAAAACAATTTCCTAGTGAATAGAAATACCTCTGTGCGGATTTTTGCGAAATGGATTCATTTATGCTAGCTATCGAGTACAGCCCTTTCTGCTACTGTAGCTCATTAAATTGGTCGTCATTGGCTAAATTTCGTAGTGCATATCCTACTCATTGGACTTAGTGTTATGGTTAGCTAATTAGTTAATTAAAATAGCGAACTGGCCGGCAATCAATTTTGCATGCTTGTTAAAGAGCATTTTTTTTTGGCTTAATTTTTTTCCTACCTACCAATGATGTATGGGCCTCCATAATTAAAGCCGTTCAATGACGGGGCGTCTGTGTAACATCGCTGGCCGGGTCAAAATATATATGTATTTTCGGTGGCAAAGTAGGCTAAACAAGTTTGCGGATTGTGTTTTGTCTGCGCTCTTCGTCTGAAATTGCGAATACGTTGTGAGGCCAATCGCATTATAATTGGGGTTTATTTATATTATATAGTATTTCTATTTGATCGCAGAGTGCAACAATTTGTTTAAATTCAAATAAAAAGGTGTGTCTCTTTTTAAATATAATCTATGCATATAATGGTCGATGATAATACAAATTTAGGATTTACAAGCCAAATATATATAGTCAGCTAACTTGTTTGGGATTTTATTTCTTAGATAACTGTACGATAAAAATCGGTGACTAACTTTTATGAGATGAATGCAGATTTATATAAAATTTAAAAATTAACAAGTTTGCCAAATCATGCCACTTTTTAAACTACTTATACTATTTTGTGTATATATTTTTATAAGCAAGAGCTGCCTAAAATGGGAAGGAGAGACAATGCTTGGAGAAGGAATTATTCCCGGGATTCCTCATCCGTATCAAGCGAAAGTTACAGAAGGCCTCACCATACCCTATTCCAAACTATTCTAGAGGTAGATCGATTAAGGCGATTAAATTATAACAACAACAACTGAAGAATCATGGTGTTGTTAAAAAAGAGTGACGCAGAAGTCCAGACCATTAAATTGATCGCGAGATATAGGATATTTTGAAAAGAGTTTAGTTTAGCTTAACAAGATGTTTCCAAAACCTTAAAGAAAGAAGCAATTTGCCAAAAAGTTCGTAGAAGAGCCTTCTTACTTCTAAAACCGTGTGCTTTGTATTGACAAAAGCAAATGCGTTATTAAATACAAATATTGATCATTATATGAGATTTACCAGACCTCGCTTCGACCATTAAGTTACAGAGGAGTTCGGAACCTTATGTTTATCGAATCCATTACAGACCATTTGCCTAAACCCATTGAAACATCTTTGAAATTTGTTGGAGCATCGTATTCAAATGAAATGTTGGAGGAATGGTAAAAAATATTGAATATACTTCTATCTACTAAGTGAAGACTTTCTCTGTATTTCAATTCAATGTTTTTAGATTCCATTCTTCAAGGTGCGAGCCGCGATACTTGGAATTAAAACCGTAAATCAATTGCATATTCATTTTGTGAATCCGTCGGTATGCCGGCGATAAACTAATATAGTTGTATAGTTGCTATGCAAACATTTTTTGTTTATACTTAGTATGTTTTATTAATGGCCAGCACGTGTTGCCGGCAGGCGAATTCAAAACAAATCGAAGTCTAGATGCATAAACGTTGGAGTTGAAATGGTTTCCCATCGCATCTTGAAGCATCTAGCATTTGCCTAGAGAGTTGGTCATTGCCAGGCCTTGTCGAAATCAAGGCACACACACGCCCCATTCTGCTTATTTATCCAACTGTCAGCTGATAATATAATTAAGCACTTGGCGAATCATATATTTAATGCGCGTGCGTAATAAAGTCAATTTGTTTTTTATTTGACGTATTAATTGTTAATATTTAATGCGGCTTAGGGCCGCAGCGTCACAACAAACTCGTTCGATCGCCTCTCCGCTGGCTATTGGCAACTTGCTAATAAATTGGTTTCGTTTTAAACAAAACACAACATAAACACTACTAGCATGTATGTATGTATGGGGCATTCATTTAAACATTAACCAACATTCACACAATCGGCAGAATGCACCGATTATACAAATCTGTGCAGACTTTGATAATGAAATTTCGTTTTGTGAGTTTTCAACGCGTCCTCAAGGTTAACAGATCGCTGTTCCCAAAACCGCAGCAGCAGCAGCAACAGGCACAGCCTTATTTAATAAAGACATAATAGTACAGTGGGAATTGCCTTAATGGGAAACAATTAATTAACTCATTTGAACAATCAAAAGGTACGATTTAAACGCACATTCGACAGCATCTGTCATTCGTTTCGTTTGATAAATGGTAGACGAGATTATCTTAAGAGCAGAAGAGTGGGGGCATCCATCAACTTACTCTAAAGGGCGGAGAGTTTTAGACGTGAGAGGACAAGCTGGGCTCTGTTATAAACGCGGGCATAACTGCCACATTTGTCCGATCGATTCCTGCCATCAACTTGGTGTCAGGCCCAGAACTAGGCATCATAAACTGTTAACCTTTTAATGTCTTACAATGGTAGCTAACCGAGAAAAATACCAGTGTCTGCAGAAAGGCCAGATCTTAATCCCATAGACTATGCAACCTTTGTGGAATCCTTTCCAGCAGGGTTTATATGCATTGGAAGACAATTTGGGTTCTTGGAAGAATAAAAAGGAGCAATAGTAGCATAGTGAACGAATCCCTCCTTTAAAAGATGGTGATTTCAATGCCAGATCTGATAATAAAAGTAATTTAAAGTATTGTTGGTCATATCTACAAAAAGAAATCACAAAAAACAAGGCACAAACGATTCATAAACGCAGATGGTCTGCCTCTTCTTTTTATAAAATATTGTGCATTGCTGTAGGAAAGTTTAAAGAATATTTCAGAGTGCAAGAAATGCTTAAATCATGAAAATAAATATTTGGACCGTTTTTTAAATAACATAAAAAATATATATATTAGGATAAATATATATTATATGTAATCCACATTTTTAATAAGTTTTTTATTATGTGTGTTTGAAACAGTTTCTTTTCAACTCCAAAACAATTAAGTATAATTTGTTATATGTTCAAAAGGTAATCTATAATTTTGATCTATTTTTGAAGATAAGAATTATTTTATGTACAATTTATTACAAATAACGCTTGCTTTATATAGTAAATAATAATATTGTTAATATGATTAACTGGTTACTTATCAGCCCACATAAAAATTATTTCCGATAAGTTTTTTAATGTTCTTTTCGCAGGCTTTCCTCCTCAAATAGCGATCCTATTATCCCTATTTTTATAGCAATATGTGCATGGTTCGATTTGATGTTAAAAACCCCCTTCAAGTGATTCCGAAAAGACTCTAAAACAGAGACTTCGTTTAATTTAAATTGAACGTTTTTCTTGAGTAAAACCTGCCCCTAATTTGCTTTTCAGTTAATTCACTGTAGAGACGAAATGAAGATAAAAGTTTGCCCAAATAAAAGAGGCAACGAGTGTTAAACGCGATTGGGTAAAAGTGGCTGACGCCTAAAACTCGGACAATGTCGCCCAGACGTCAAAGCGAGTTCGCGAAAGAGTTGAACAAAAGAAATATGGATGTTAAACAAATATACTTAGCGTATGAAAAGCGGTTGTAAGTTAAACAAAAACGAGTAAGCGATGAAGACGTACGCAGGGCGTTTTTATTTACAGCGGGACGGCCTCTGAATCATATTCAAATAAATTGTTGTCTGCATATTCATGAGCTGCTAATCCAGTCAGATCGGTTACAAGTTCAATGCTGCTGCAGATATAACTCAAGCGTTGAACAGGTATCCTTGAGTTTTGGACAAGCTACCCGTAGAGGTGGAGGTAGAGGTGGAGGAGTTTCAACATTAGAAGCTGAACTTTGACATTCGCCAAAGCCCTTTAATTAGTACGCATTAGTCAAAAAGCTGATAAAAATTAATATTAATATGTAAATTAGTGGACAGACTGGCCACTGCTGCGTGGGCACAAAGACAGAGCGTTAGCTGCCCTATTGACATTGCAAAACCTCCCCGAAAAAGACACGCATAGCGGCAACGACGGCCACGCATGCGCATCAGCGATCGCTCTTAATGATTGCGCCGCTGAAGCTAAAGTTGAAGTTGAAGTAGAAACGAGAGACAGAGCCATAGCCATAGCCATAGCCAAGACCTTTCGAATGCATTACGTTATCGCTTTAGTTTTGGTATAAAAACGCTGGCCCATCTGCCAGTAGACATCATTCGTCGTCTGCAACTCGAGCCAGAGTGTGTCGACCAGAAGAAGTCCAACAAACTTTAACACCGCCAAACACAACAAAACAACAACAATGGTGAGCACATCGATCGCGATAGCAGCAGCTTGAGGTTGAGGTCGAGTGTCAAGTGCTATTGACGTTGACCTTATTGTAACGCCTTCGCTGTCATTAAACGGGTTGAGTGCTTGGCTAATCGCTGATTTCCATTTGATTTCCAGAAACTGTTCGTCTTTGCTGTCTGCGCCATTGCCGTCGTCTCCGCCGATGTCTCGCACCTGAACTTGGGAGGTGGCGGTGGCTACAACTACAATAGGCCCTCGCCTTCGTTCGATATTTCCTCCTCATCGGGATCTGGTTTCCAGCCATCCGCTCCCCTCTTCTCCGCTCCTGCGCCAGCACCCAGCAACTCGTACTTGCCACCTTCACAGGACATTCCAATTTCAGCTCCCGCTCCAATCTATTCGGCGCCAGCGCCTGCTCCCGCTCCCATCTACTCAGCGCCAGCGCCTGCGCCCGCTCCTATCTACTCGGCACCAGCGCAAGCTCCAGTTAGCGAGTATCTGCCACCTGTTCAGGATATTCCTGCCCCAGCTCCCGCTCCAGTCTACTCTGCTCCGGCCCCAGCTCCCGCTCCAGTTTACTCTGCTCCTGCTCCTGGACCATCGTACTCTGCTCCAGCTCCTGGACCTTCCTACTCAGCTCCTGCTCCTGGACCATCCTACTCAGCTCCTGCTCCTGGACCATCGTACTCAGCACCCGCTCCATCTAACGAGTACCTGCCACCTGTACAGGACATTCCTGCCCCAGCTCCCGCACCAGTCTACTCTGCCCCAGCACCCGCTCCAGTCTACTCTGCTCCCGCTCCTGGTCCATCCTACTCTGCTCCCGCTCCCGGTCCATCCTACTCGGCGCCCGCTCCTGGACCATCGTACTCGGCTCCCGCTCCAGCTCCAGTCTACTCGGCTCCCGCTCCAGCACCAGCTAACGATTATCTGCCACCTGTCCAAGACTTTCCAGCACCCGCCCCCGCTCCCATCTACTCGGCTCCAGCGCCAGCTCCCGCTCCCATCTACTCAGCTCCTGCTCCCATCAGCCAACAGCCAGAGTACTCTCCAGCCCTGGAGCAGAACAATGGCTATCAATATAATGTGCCAGCCAAGCGTTTCCGCTTCTAGGTGCAGCATCCGTAGATCTCAGTGATCTCAGAGCCATTCGCTAGATAGCCGCTTCTTAAATTAATAAGTGGCATCTCACTGTTGTTGTTATTTTGTTGTTACGCAAAGTTTTGTTGAGATTTTCATTTAGTTAAATAAAAAATAATAACCATCGATTTCAGTCGATTGTATTTTAATTGCGAGTTATACGCAATCGCCCATAAATATTCAAATATATACCATTAAAGATACGCAGCTAAAGGAAGACGAATGCAGCATTGTTTGCCAATCAAAAATTACGCGATAAACTTACTCTGGTGTTTTTAAAACAAACAAAGATATGATTATGAAAACCGATTTGCTTTTTCTTCGCTGCCTCGGACTCAAAAGGAATCCCAAAACCTGATTGCAACGATATGTTGCCCTGGTATGACTAGTTTTCACACAATTATTATTGTCAAAACATAACGATGCTTTCAAAATATAACATTAAACAAGCTACGAACATCTATTTATGGGACAAAGAAATATTCCAATAATTTTTCAAAAATTCTAAAAGCAATGTCCCTTTGCGAACAAAAAAAAATAAATTATTTATATCAATAGGCACTCTAGATTATTCACATTTAATATCAAAACTTCTTAAGCATTTTCTAATGGCAGCTCATTGCTCGCACTTTTTAAAATCTAAATTAAAAAATAAACGGCCGCTAATGCTGGCCCAATAAATCAGAAGCGCCATCCTTGGTTTAAATAATGAAAGTGCGTCATGACTCCAGTATTTTAAATCGGTATTTTTTCGCAATGTTTTCATTTTTAATAATTTGTTTACGCACATGTTGTCTTACAGCCATTTGTTAATCGAACAGCTTAACATTAAATAATACATCTGTTTAGTTTTAGAGATGAACAATCAACAAATTTCATATGCGATAAGATTGTTCTTATCATTGTTATGAGCCCGCACTCACGAATGCTGCCACTCGGTTGGTATGCTAACGGTGTATGATGGGTAGCACTGGCGCAGACAAATATTCGATATTAAGTCATGCAGGCCATTCGGTGATCGTAAGGGTGGCTGGCTTCGTGCAGCGGTATTTTGCCTGTGCTGATATTTGATTTTTTTTTCAATCTCTAAAACAAACAAAGATATTAAAATGCACGTGGATTTGTCTATAGTAAAGGAAGAAGTTGATATTGATGATACAAAAATCAAGTTGGAAGTGGATGCGGACGCACAAACGTCTTCGCAACAAATAGAATTTCCATGTAAGTATGTTTATATGTATGTATGTATGTGTGTACGCAACAAATGTTCTGCGTGCGTAGTTGTGTGTATGTGTGTGTCGGTCTCTGTCTCTGTGTATGTGTGTGTGCGTTTTATTACGCAGCATACCGTTAATTTTGTATTGCTAACTTGTTGATTTTTATTTATTTCAACATTTTAGCCAGCAGCAGCGATGCGCTTAAAATAATTGAAGAGCGCCCCAATATGATAACGGTGTCCGTGAATGAACAGCAATCGGAAGACGAGCGTGCATTTTTGGCACAGATGCTGGTTGAGCAGCAACAGGTAAGAAGCGAACGCAAGCAGAGAAATTGTCAGCCTCAAGTAACCAAACTATTTTGCAGTTATTTGCGGACCCTGACAGCTGCATTTCGTGGCACAAATGCGTGTACTGCTCAATGCGTTTTAACGCCGCTAATGAATTGGAGGCGCACATAACGTTGCATCGATTGAATAAACATTTCTGTCTCCACGACTGCGGCGTGTGGTGCGATACATTGGAGGAGTGTCTCCAGCACGAGCATTTGGAGCATTCCTGCCGGCGTGGCAGGCCGCGTTGTGGCGTAAGTGAAAGGGAAAGAAAACAAAATAGTTTCCAAATAATTATACCCGACACTTTTCAGCTGTGCAATGCTTTGTTCTCCGACACCAGCAGCTTAAACAAGCACATGGAAACGCACCAGTTCGTGCCTCGATTTATTTGTGCGCTCTGTCGGTGGGACTATCCGTATCGAAACGGTTTGTTGTCGCATTGGAATGATACATCCAGCTTGTGCGGTCAACTGCATCATATCGATGAGAGGAATGCACCCAATATCGAGCTGGTGCGCACCAAAGGTTGGTTCAAGCGGGAAATGCCTTCGATTTCTGGTGCCGGTACAATACCCAACAAGCGCTGCAAGTTCGAAGAACCCTTCAGTGATGTACAAATAAAGAACGAACCTGTCGAGGACGAGCCTGGCGTAACCATTAAGGACGAGCCTCTGGACGAGCACGAGCTAAACAACAATAACAACAGCAATTTGTACAACAGCGAACCTCAATCTAATGTGAATCTCAGTACGGCTAGTCCCCAGTACACACCACCACCAATCAGCAAATTGCGTTTGCCGGCGCTGAAGCCGATCATAGACAACTCGGCGAAACGCGATAAAGTGCCGTCGGTTGGTGTGCAGAAGGAAAAGCAAAAGCCGCAAGGCATCAAATGTGAGTTAAAGGGTAGTTGTATGCTTACAAAGGATGTATTGCTGTTCAGATAGATTTTAACGCGCAGTATATGTTGTGGCAGACCGCATCCTATAATTACATAAATGATTACGACGAAACTAATCGATCATGTCTGTCCGTCTGTTTCTATGTTAAGCAAAAACGAAGTTTCCAGATAGGTTTCTAATATCTGCAAGCAAAAACCTAGCCGGAACAGATCACTACTAGTCGTAGGAACTCCTGGAACATTGGAGCGACTTTTTCGTTTGTAAAGCTATCTAAACCAAATTTGTTATGTAATGCTTTTATAAAATGCTTCAACTTATGCTCATATTGCTGCCACAGAACGTCAATCTTTGTTGCAGTTTATTAAATTCAATTTCAATTTATACTTATGTAACTATCATAGTTATAGGCTTACAAAGCAAATTAGATTGCATTTGATTCATCATTTATTTATTAATAAATAGGGCTAGTTTTAAGCGTCTCTATTCATTACATTGTATAAAGCAGTTTTGGTAAGTGGCGCCAGCCAGACGCACAAGCAAAATATCGTTCGCGAGCGACCTTACAAAAACAAAATACATGTACATATGTAGTTGTCGCCAGCCAGACGCACAAGCAGATTTATGCAACAACAAAATACACAGAGTTCGTGTATCGTTGCTCGATTTTCAGTAGCATTTACTAAGAACTCCAACGGTGATTTTTGTTGTAGCGCTCTCTATTTGAAATTTCGTGCCCATCGCTGGTATAAAGCATATTTACTTATCTGTATTTCTGTTCACTTGCAGTTGTGCCCGCTCCTAAAAAGTTCGCAAAATCAATGATAAAGGTATTGCCTTTCGCAAGCGATACATACCAAACAAGCAAAAGCCAACAAACACAAGCAGCGACTGGCACAGCCAAGCCATTGCCCGGCACAAGACCCGCAGCTGCAGAAGGAGTACCAATCATGCCCAAGCCCATGCCACTACCAATGCTAGCGAGTTCATTAACGGTTTCGGCAGCCACCACAACTTTGGCGCTGCCGCTTGTGACGGTGCCAACGCAAGCTCCTTCGTCCTTGGTGGCAATGCCGGCCGCATCCAACATACTGCAGGTGCTGCCCAGCAACTGTGTGGTCATCAATTTGCCCGCCAACATTAGGATAGTCAAGCTACCCGGCAATAACGATGGCCAAAATGTTTCCAATCTACCCGCCCTGTCCTGTGGCAACAGCATTGTGCTAACAAATGTGACAACAAACATGTCCACGCCCTCAACAACAATAACAACCACAAGCACCGCTACAGCTACGGAGAATTTGGAAAACGTGAAGCAGAATCAGAATCAATTTGACGAGCCCCAGGAACGTCATAATTACTTTAACAATTGTTTCTTTGATAAAATCGAAAAACTGCCGGAGTCACGCAAAATAATCGAGGAATTGCAAACTAAAATCCGTGATATAGAGAAGACTTTGCCGTTACCGGGCACTGTGTTGCAGCCGTCGAGGAAAAAAGTAATCCACACTATGAAAGAAAAGATAAAGCCGACAAAGGAGGAGGTGTCCACTCCCGACTATGCCTCAGTACTGAATGAAGAATTGCCATATCCGCCAAGGCCCTTGCTGGTCGACATGCCCACAGCCACGGCCAAGAGGAGTGCCCTCAACCAGATCTATCCCGGCTACAGCTTTGTGTGGAGCTGTCCGAAATGTGCAAAGTGTTTTGGGGAACTCTACCAGTTTCATCAGCATTTGGCTCTAGCCCATAATGTAGAACTGAGCCAAATGGGCAAAGAATTGGTTCAACTGAAGCCTTTCAAGAGTAAGTGCTGCTGCGATTTCATATTTTTCAAAGTTTTGTTCTGATTACTAACTAAAATATTTGTTTAGTTGCCATCGACGAAAATCAAATGAAGACGTCAACACCACCAATAAACGTTCTGTCAGTAACTCAACTGAATAAGGTGGCAGAAACAGAAAGAATTGCACCAGCAGCGGACCCAGCTCAACCAGCAGCCAGCACGTCGATAGAAGAGCTCCTGGCCATAGCTAAAGCCTCTGACAGCAGCGCAAAAACAGAGTTACGGCGCAGTCCAAAGTCCGAAACAAATGAACAAACAACCAGCCCAAGCAAGAAGGTGGAGTCGAAACCAGCGGCATCAACCACTACGTCAGCTTCCAAACAGCAGGCATCCAGAAATAAGAGGGGCATGTTCCAGTGCCAGGAGTGCCACAAAAGCTTCACAACACCCGGCTCCCTCAACACCCACAAGCTGATACACACCGGCGAGTTGCCGCATCAGTGTAGTTACTGCGAAAAGCGTTTCCGGACGCGCGCCCAAGTGCGGGTCCATCATCGCCGTCATACGGGCGAGAAGCCCTTTAAGTGCAAGGTATAGAAAAATGAATCCATTATATTTGTTTAATTTAATATAATATTAGAGCTGTGCCAGGAAAACTTAGAAACCAACAAGAGTCACGAAATTCACAATTGGCCGTCTACAATTTATTTGAAATAACTTTTTTTTAATGCAGAATATATTTTCCGGCATTATCACAGCTCTTGCCGTTTCCGAATATAATCAAACTCTGCGGAATGGAATCTTGAAATGCTTATTTATAATTTGTCTATTATCTTGCAAATCTTTTGGGGTTTCCACTGACTTTTCATTTCTTTCATTTCATTTTTTTTGCAGGTCTGCTCGCTGGCCTTCACACATCGTGAGACGCTCATTTCACATTTGTCGCGCCACATCGGCATGAAGCGTTACAAATGCTATGGCTGTGACAAGTATTTTGTTGTTGTGAGTGGTTTGCGTGCCCATCGCAGGCTACGGCCGGATACGTGTGGCAAGGTGAAGTTTACAGCCCGTGCTCACGGACCCCGTGTCCGGGTAATTCGAGGTGAGGTCGTATTCGAGCATCACCCAGAACATAATGGATACCTACGCAGTGAGGATCCGTTGAAAATTTTATCTGAGATAAAGAACCCATTCGACGAAAACGAATCAACATTGGATGCAGAAGAAGGTGAGATTGATGCAACAGTTGCTTGAATTTACAAAAAAAATTTTACCACTTAACGTAAGTATTACGTATTTTTTATAATTCGCACTTTACACAAGAAAAATGCTATTTGTTTATGTTTACACATATTGATATATAAATATTTTTAAGACATATTTTTTATAAAATCCAACGCCATTTGTAAAAATAAACTAACTATTGTGTTAAAGATGCTTTGGGCTTTAAATCAGAGAATTATCTAATGAATTGAAGATTACAAAATAAGGGAAGAGTTAGTTTTCTCAATACACGTAAGTAGGCTACCATTCGGCTTCCGCAATGTCCTGCTTCCAACAAATCAAAAACTATTTGGAGTCCAAAATCTGATAGTTTTTATACTTGTAACCCCTAAGTCATACGAGTTTATTCTACTTTTTGGATTTTCCCTGCACTCTCCCCGCTGCAGAATTTCGTAAATACAAGTACGTTGATTTAATAAAAAATCCTTGTTTTTCAGTAATTTTAATAAGTTTAAGAGATAAGGAACCAACACCTATTTTTGCATACGATCAATGCCTTTTTCCACGGTTTTTTCTGGAACCAATCTAGAATTATGTGTATACGTATATTAGAACTTATCTATTTAATTCTGAATATTTCCTCAGAATATGTACTCTGTTTTATTGCTGTATATATAATGTATTTGCTCATTATTGAATGCTGGCTATTATGTAAAGGCGATTGATCCTTAAGTTGCTGATGATGCCTGCATTTTGGGACCTTTGAGTTCTGTAGAAGCCACCCAGATTTGCTATTAGTTCAGCAACTCCTTTGGACACCTACCAAACCTACCGTGCTGTTCCAAGGAACCGTTTTGGTCACCTGTTCTTCTTTTTCTTATAAGTGAAACTGGCTTTCTGAATTATGGTCACCGCTATTTAAGCTTTACTTCTATCCTTAAAATTGTCACATTAAGGAAATTATTTTATTTTTATTTTAAATAAAGCAACAAATTTATAAATACAACAACCGCTATTATTTTTCTTATTTATTTGCTACAGGAAGTAGGATCTTAGCCACAGGCAAACATAAATCATCAGCGAGTTCTAAAAAGTGTCCTTTTTTTATTTGCAATAATTTGAATCTAGTTGCACAGCTGCAACTAATTTATTCATTTATTTAATTGGTTTCGCGCCGTGTTTCAAACCAATTTACATTTTTAAAAAGTGTAGCATACCATACAGGCGCATATTTTATTTCTAAATTACAACTGCCGAATTGGTTTGAAGCCCAGCTACCAAATTGGTTTGAAACCTAGCTGGTTTGAAGCCAGGCTGCCTAATTGGTTTGGAACCGGGTTAAATTGATAAAAAAGCAGCTTGCTGCTGAATTCTGTTCGCCTGGTACTTCAGATTTTGGATTTTAGCATTTGCAGGCGATTTTAGTTATTTTTTGAAAGTCGTAGCTGCCGTTTTTGGCTTGAGTTTGCAAGCTGGCACTTTTGCTAAGTACCAGGCAAACATAATTCAGCAGGAAGATGATTTAAAAAAAAAATTAAAAATAAATTAGGCCAGGTTTCAAACCACTGCAGCCGGGCTTCAAACCAATTCGGCACATTGGTTTGGAAGCCGGCAGCCAAATTGGTTTGCAACCCGGCTGCCTAATTGGTTTGACAACCAGCTGGTTTGAAGCCAGGCTGCCTAATTGGTTTGGAACCGGGTTAAATTGATAAAAAAGCAGCTTGCTGCTGAATTCAGTTCGCCTGGTACTTCAGATTTTGGATTTTAGTATTTGCAGGCGAGTTTAGTTATTTTTTGGAAGCCGTAGCTGCCGTTTTTGGCTTGAGTTTGCAAGCTGGCACTCTTGCTAAGTACCAGGCGAACATAATTCAGCAGGAAGATGATTTAAAAAAAAAAATTAAAAATAAATTAGGCCAGGTTTCAAACCACTGCAGCCGGGCTTCAAACCAATTCGGCACATTGGTTTGGAACCCAGCTGCCAAATTGGTTTGGAACCTGGCTTTAATTTATAAAACAGCAGCTTGCTGTTGAATTCTGTTCGCCTGGTACTTCAGATTTTGGATTTTAGCATTTGCAGGCGATTTTACTCATTTTTTGAAAGCCGTCGTAGCTGCCGTTTTTGGCTTGAGTTTGCAAGCTGACACTCTTGCTAAGTACCAGGCAAACATAATTCAGCAGGAAGATGATTTAAAAAAAATTAAAAATAAATTGGGCCAGGTTTCAAACCACTGCAGCCGGGCCTCAAACCAATTCGGCACATTGGTTTGGAAGCCGGCAGCCAAATTGGTTTGGAACCTGGCTTTAATTTATAAAACAGCAGCTTGCTGCTGAATTCTATTCGCCTGGTACTTCAGATTTTGGATTTTAGCATTTGCAGGCGATTTTACTCATTTTTTGAAAGCCGTCGTAGCTGCCGTTTTTGGCTTGAGTTTGCAAGCTGACACTCTTGCTAAGTACCAGGCAAACATAATTCAGCAGGAAGATGATTTAAAAAAAAATTAAAAATAAATTGGGCCAGGTTTCAAACCACTGCAGCCGGGCCTCAAACCAATTCGGCACATTGGTTTGGAAGCCGGCAGCCAAATTGGTTTGCAACCCGGCTGCCTAATTGGTTTGACAACCAGTTGGTTTGAAGCCGGACTGCCTAATTGGTTTGGAACCCGGCTTTAATTTATAAAACAGCAGCTTGCTGCTGAATTCTGTTCGCCTGGTACTTCAGATTTTGGATTTTAGAAAACGCAGCGGCTGTGGCCATCGGCCAAACTTTATTTTCATACTTTTCCCAAACCAGTAAATAAAATTCTTGCATTTTATTAATTTATTTATTTTCTTTATATTCATTGCGCTTGGTTTGCTGTTCTTGAAAATTACATTTCTTTCATACGATAATATATAACGTAATATTATTTGTTCTTACACGATTAAGTGGAATACGCACGCTCTGTTTTTGCTTTTGCTTTTGTTTTGCTCGATTAGTGGTTGCATGTCTATGATGTATCATTAAAATTGTTATATCTGACTAATTGGTAAAACATATTAAACAATTTATAATTTTAACAAAATTTGACAAGCCGACAAATTTGTTTCTAATATACAATAGATTTATAATTTGATATTTGTGTATCCTAAACATGCTAGCGACTGCATTTATAGCTGACATTGTCTAGTTATTTAGCTGCTACGGTTATCGTTTCGTAATTTATAATTTATATCAAACATATCCAAACTTTTGACATCAACTGACTGACAATGTGCTGCGTATCATAATTTCTTGTTTATTTCTATATTTTTAACAAATACTTCATATATATTTATATATAGTTACTATTGTTCTTTAACATGTGTACTCAGCTACTAATTTAGTGTTTGTTTATGCATTTTTGCCAATTTTAACGTTTCATTATAATTACTATATGCCAATTAATCGTCAACCAGCTTAGTGTTATGTACATTATTATGCTTATGCTTATGGGTTTATTATTAGCGTTATATATGCGTGTGTCGATCTGCACTATTCATGAGTATATATATAGTATAACTATATGCTACAATACATATCTACAATAATCTTATGCCTTTCTTTTTTCTTGTTTAGGTACAATAATTGTTGGTTAGCTTTAGGGACTAAATTACACGTATGTAGTATCGTTTAAGGTATAAAGGTATGGTATATACAGGAATGTTGAAGCAAATTAAAAGTACATTCAATCAGGACGATATAAAAATTAGGAATGGAATCGGTTTCGTTGGAACTTAAAACTAAAGTCTAGAAACTATATGTATGTATATGTATTTGCTTTTGCCAGCTGCCATAGAAAATACTTCGTTCTACACAAGACTTTTGACTACATAATTGCACGGGTTGTCAGCTACATATATAATAGGTAGATATTATAAGAACCTAGTCAGCACTAATCGGGGCAAGTATAAAAACGTATTTGATTGATTGTTGTACACGTCTAAAATAGAATTATAATAATGATAATTGGATTTACGATCATTTCGAGTGGACAGTTAAGTCCGAATGGCAATCAACTAGACTTCTATCTTCTGTTCTGTTCCGTTCTGCTTCTTTCTGTTCGAGATTCGTTCTTTTAGGCGGTAAGACTAATAGCTACCAAGTCCTTAGTTAAAATATGTATAGGTTTCCAGTGGCACCACCACTACCACAACAACAAGTCCACGATGGTTGAATACTTTGTTCAGTTAGAGCAAAAATTGTATATATATCATAATATAATAAATTACTGATAATTAAATGTGTAACAGTCTTTTCGAGGTGACATATTTAAAAAATTCAAATTTCAAATGAAACACAACTTCAAACACAAATACGGGGGCCGGCGACACACGCGTATAACTCAAAGGTGCTTACATACACGTACATACGGATATCATGTACATATGTATGTGTACAGTACAATAAGTGGGCAGTAGCTGGCTATAAACATTTAAAAGTTAGTAATACTTGTATGTATGTACTCGTACTTGTAAGTAAATGCATATTATGCGAAACGTGCTGCAAACTTAATACAAGACTTAATACAATTTTTGCTCCATTCTTCAATTGGCGTAGTTGTCGAACGATCCCAAATATTCCAAAGCTGCGCGATAGCAGAAATGATATTGATCCTATAATGAAAGAAAGAAGGACATTGATATGAGTATTTAAATCAGTGATTGATAATAATTTTAATATACGATAGGAATGTATCAATATATCTTAACTCTAATATGATTGACAATCATTCAACAGATGAAATATAATCAGAGAGAGAACACATAATTGATTACTTTTAATTATAAATGCTGAATTTATATTCAAATATAGAATAATATGAACAAGTTAACTTTAATATGATTGATAATCATTCAATCATTCATTTCTTCTCTTCTGCAATTCGTTCTTATTCTTCATCATAATTTGTATTTAATTCTAATTAATTATCATCAATTAACAAATTTGACTACTTTATTAGTTTACTATACTAGACTACTATTAGTCTTCTATTAGATTGGTACACCTCAACCACATTCATCTTTCAATATTTCCATTTGCTCAACCTGTCTCTTCATCATAAAGAAATGCACTTAAAGAAATAGTTATATCTAAAGAACATTAGTGTGTGGTGTGATTATTCTCAAAGCTATCTCTACCCTCTCTCTATTTTCCATTTCTATTTTCCATCACTCATTGTTTTTGTAGGATGTACTAATTTTACAAGGCACAAAAATAAATATTAAAGTATTTGTAAACTAATGAATTAATATCCATTTTAATCAAGGGTATCAAGTTTTCTTTTAAAGAACAGGTGACCACCAAGATGCTGTTATGGAGAATTCGAACTTAAAAGGGGAAAAAGGGGCTACAACGTTTGTATAAAATATCTGTGCTTTTGATCCGCCTAAGATCAAACTCGGTTTGTATACACTCTAGGAAATAATGTTTATGCACAATTTTTCAGGGGTCTCAATTACTGGAATTTTCTTGTTTAATACTATCATTATATTAATATTATTTCCTAATTTCCTTCGTCATCTTTTACCCTTTCTTTCTTTCGTATGAGAAGTGCGGAGACGGGATCTTAAAGGGTTCTTAAAGTTTCAGGACAATCCTTTTTATCGCTAATTAGTTTTATCGAAAGATTTTGATTAATATGAAGTAACTTTCGAGTAACATAGATGGAAACCCTAGCTATTATCTAAAGATTTAAAAAACTGGATTAAAGTTCGCTTCACAATTCGAAAGAAAACTGATCATAATCAAAGCATTGATATAAAATCGAATGAAATACTAAATATCGAAAGGAAAACTTGCACTTACCTCTGTCTGGACCATGGCTGGTCTCTGGGAGCGCAATATGCGGACTGTTTGGAACACATCGAGCACTCCCTCGTACTGCATGCGTTCGAGGACAATGCTGAGTGTTATGAAGACACCTGTGCGTCCCACACCCGCCGAACAGTGGACAGTGATGGGCCCGTCCTGGCCGAATTGCTCCTTGGTCTTGTGCACCTGGCCGATGAAGTCGATGAAGCCCTCCCCGGACTTGGGAACTCCCTGTTCGGGCCAATCAATAAACTGGAATTGGCGAACAGTACGTGAAGAGCCATCGCGAGCATCGGTGACCTGTTCAAGAAATTGAGAATTAGTTTTTGAAGCACACGGAAGTGAAGGATTGGACTTGCCTTGAACTCTCGCAGCTTATACTGCGGCATGTTATATTCAGCGATGGGGTCCACTACGTAATACTGATAGCGTACGGAGCGTTCATGCGGCCAGTATTGAAAGCATTTCTCCTGCAAAGAGACGATCAATTTAATGAATCTTCTTAGGGGTAGAGGTAGAGAGGGGGTTAGCTTACCCGACCCATTTCCTTGAGCTTGGTCAGCATGACGACAATGGTTGAGTTGTGCTCCCAAAGCATGCGCCAGAAGTCCTCGGCGGTATCCTGGATGGGTCCCTGTGCCGCAATATAGGCGGAGCGATAGCGATAGCCATCGATGAAGCTGGCATTCACATAGTCGCTGCCCTCAAGGCCGTGAATGGGCGTCAGATAAACGCGACTCGACTCATATGGGAGTATGTGGACCAAGCGGTTCTTATGCTTATTGCAGGGCAAGTTCGCGGTGACAAACTTGGACGAGTCCATTTTGACATTGGACAGTTTCTTGAACTCCACCTCCATGCCCGAAATGCTCTCGCCTGGCTCGGTAGTCAGCAGCTTTTGCAGATGGGTGTGCAGATTACGTGCCGGCACTTCGGTCAGGCCACAGATAATGGCCTCCAGTATGGCGTCGTGTATGAAGATATACTGGTCTTCCGTCTGCACCATGTAGTTGCGTTGAGCACGCAAACAGGTCACGTGGCCATAGATGTCAATGATCTTCTCGTGCTTCATGCGCTCCAGCATCGAATCGATGACAATGTAGCAACCCGTGCGACCCACACCCGCCGAACAGTGCACGATTACGGGACCTGATTCGGGGGGTGTCAGAGCGCGACAACGTCGCAGGAACTGTAGGAACGGCGCCGGATGATCGGGCACACCATGATCGGGCCAGGCCGTAAATTGTAGCTGCTTGATCTCCCGTCGATCGTTGAAGCCCTGTCGGACCAGCTGGAACGTGCGTATGCTGTAGGTGGCCAATTCCTGGGTCTCGGTTATGGTCACAAATATTTGGCCATAGGTCTCGGTGCCACGCGAAGGCCAGTACTGATCGCATTTAATGCGTGTTCGCTCTTCGAGACGCGTCATCATCACAATGGTCGCCGTCTTCAGTTCCCAGCACATGCGCCAGAAGTCGGCAAAGGTCTCCTGCAATGGGCCCTGAGTGGCCACATAGGCATTATGTTTCCGATAGCCATCGCAGTAGTTGGCATTTATGTAATCGGAGCCAACCACGCCTTCGGACTGCGGTAGCTGGACGCGTGAGTGATCGTAAGCTGTAACATTGGCATAACGATTCTTGGACTTATTGTAATCGTAGTTGGAGTTATCCCAGGTGAACTGCTGGCCCGGTTCGATGCTCTCGTATTCTTGCGAGAACTTCTGATTGTCATTGGACTTGAGGCGTTCGATGTGGTTGGCAAACTCAGAGATGGGTATGGGCGGATGGGAGAGCATGCCGGGGGTTTGGAAGTTCAAGCGTCTCATGTCGACGGGATCACTGGGTGTAGGTCCAGCGCCCAAGTCGGCTGCCATCAGTGGTCGTGTGACCGCCGCCTGATCGGGTGTCTTGCAAGGCTGACGTCGGCGCTTCACCACATACAGTACAATCAGTGTGGTGGACACCACAAAGGCGGCAATCAAGGGAAGCACTACCCACAAGATTTCGGGTTCGTCTTTATTGCGATTTACCGAAACCTCCGGCTCCGAGGGCCAGTTGGGATCAGGTCGATGCGGACGCTCCCCAGGTGGAGCTTCGCGCATATCCAATGATAGGAACTCCGAGAAAGGACTGGAGGTATACAGATGTTTCTGTGGCGTATCCACAACAGCGCGCACAAAGATGCGATACCGTTTCTCACGCTCCAGCTTCCGATTGGTAAAGTTGTGATAATCATCGCCGGAGCCCAGATGGAAGGTGAAGGGTATGGAGCGTTGCGGAAATTTGGCGGCTATATAGGGTGCATTCGGACGTTCGGGCTTGTTGCGGCCAGGCAACAGATCCTCCGTCAAAAACTGATCAGGATTCTTGTGCAAATTAGACTTGTCCTCCGGCACAACCACGAGATAGTAATGCGAGATGGGGCCGTATTCTTCGGAAGCTTGTGGCAATATAACTAAAATGTCTTCCCCATTCACAACACCATAAAAGTCTGGCTTGACCATGGGTTGTGGCGCGGCCATTTGCGTGGTCACCGTAATTTTAGTGGGGGGTCTGTAGGAATAGTCTGAGGGTATGGCGCTAACGTTCACATTGTAAGTGGTAAAGGGGCTAAGCTCATTAATGGTATGCGTTTTAACATAATGCTTGAGTATGATCTCACGCTTTTGCACACTTTGGGTCTGCGAGAAGCCTTGCGAGTCCACGAAAACCTTCATGGCGTCAAAGGAGATCTTGTAGTTGACCGGATTGAGGCGTATGGGCGGCGACCAGCTCAGCGTCATGGAATGTGTGCTCACATCGTGAGCACGCAAATTTAATGGCACATCCTCGGGTTTTATGCGCACCGTTACCTTCTCGCTGAGGCGACCCAGACCATTCTTGAAGCGGGCCGCTATTGCCACAGCATATTGCGCGAATTTCTCCAGATTGACGAGATCTGCAGATTCGGTTAGGCCCACCGTTTTCGTTTGCCAATCATCCAGATCCTCCACGGCAGTCATCGTGTAGAATATCTTGTAGCCTAAGAGCTTGCCGCGACTTGGCACTGGTTCCCACCAGATCTCAGCCGTCTGCTCGGAAGTAGCCACCGCCTGCACCGACATGGGTGCTCGGCCCATGTCCCGCTCAGTCTCCACAATCAATTTCTCGCTAAATGGACCCGCTCCCTGCTTCGTGTAGGCACGCACGCGGAAGATATACTCCGTGTTCTCTTCCAAATTGGTGAAGACTGCTTTGCGAAGCGTCATGTTGCGCTCTGAGCCGAGGCCATGATCTATTTTCTTGTGGAATTGGACGTCGTAGCGTGTAATAATACCGTTGCGATGCTCCCGCGTGGGTGGATCCCAGGTAACACAGACCACATCGGGGGTTTGGAAGCGCACGGTAATATTGGAAGGCGGTCCACCAGGAGTACCCTCGGGGGTTTGGAAGATCTTAACGGTCTCTTGGCCAATGCCTATGTGATTACTGCCCGCCACACGGAACTCATACTCAACGCCTCGCTCCAGATCATTGAAGCGTTTCTTTGTCATTTGGGGTCCGGAAAGCATTTCTTCCTTTAGCAGCTGATCCTTGACACCCCAGCGTAATCGGTAGCCACGCAGCTCACCGTATGTCTGCGCCGGACGCTCCCATTCCAGTTCAATGGACACAATCGGCTCGCGCTCCATGATCTTGAGGCTGACAGTGGGCCGTACAGGCACACCGCCAGGCGTTTTTACAATGACGGCAGCACTGCGATCGCCATCACCTTTCCGGGTGAGAGCCGCCACTTGTATAGAGTATTTCGTATCGGGTTGCAGACCCGTCACATTGAACTCCAGTGTGTCCACAACGTCGAATTTGAAGGGTTCGTTGAGGAAGCCCTTACCCTGGTAGGAAAAGGACTTTAATTAAATAGTGAATTTAGCTGTTGTTTAAAGATTTTCGCTATTTCCTTCAATTGATATTAAAATAAAGAATATTAGAGTTCAATCAGGGATTTCGTCCTTTTTTTAAACGGAACATATGTATTTATCTTATTGCCCCACCTCCTTTTTCTAAATAAAATGAAGACTCTTCTGAATATGCCACATTAGCGGCTAGCTGGGAAACTGGTGGGCACAGATAGAGAGCTGTGGCAAGAACTTTCGTTGAAAGCAAACTACTAGTTAATGGAAAGTAGGTATTCACAATCAAGCTCACATAAAGGATTTTCTAACTAGCCACACATGTCTGAAAACATTACCTCATCGCGCATTTCCTGCACGTGTATGTGATAGCCGCGTATGATGCCATTGCGATCCTTCTCTAGCGGCGGTTTCCAACTGACATGTATCGATGTGGAGTTCAAAGGCGTGGCCTTCACATCTTGCGGGTCTCCAGGCACTATGGACGACGGCGAAGAAACAAACGATTAGTTCAAGGCATACACACGCATATACATAAATAGTTCAATTTATTTGTAACCCTTACATTTTAGTATTTAATGTTAACTTAGCTTAACTGCTTAGATCGAGTAATATAACCATTAAGTCTAAGTAGCTTATCAGTGATAGTTTTTGTGTCTCTATAGGGTATTGTTGTTGTTGTTATAAAAGCTAGGTTCTAGAGTTTTCTTAGACCCTAAGAGCAATAATGTACAAAAACCAGAACGAACTTAGCTCCAAGTGAACGTCACCACATCACAGTGAGAGAGAGAGAAAAAGGAAACCAAACAAAGTGCTGCTTAGGTGCTAGATAGTTATGTATATATATATATGTATAAAGGGTTGCTCAAAAGGTGCTCAAAAGTGATAAATAGGTGCAGTTTATACCTTGCTATTTATATATAGAGTTGTACTTATAAAGAGTATGTCAAAATGTACACAAAAAGTTGGCAATCGAAACAAAGATGGGGCCGTGGGCCTCCAATATCGTTTCAGTTCGTGGATTGGGCAAAAACAAACATGTAAGCATTCAAAAAGTTTGTTAAATGAGTGTGCAAAGGTTTCAAACAGATAGTCAAATAAAAAACAAAAATATATATATTTATATATATTTGTATGTAGATTTATGTGTGGGCGCTCAATCAAAAATCTTTTGAGAGCACCTCTATTGTAAAATCCTGGCAGACTTTTGTTTTTGAAAAAAAGCAAAAATGTGAAATAGAGAAACATGTCAAAAAACAAAATAAAGTTGACAATTTAGTTCAGAGGCTCTCAGGATTCTGAGCCCAATACACAAAAAAACGTGATGAGAGATTATATAGATAGTTAATATAAGTTGCTATTTTTGCATTCTTAAACATTATAGTCAACCATTAAAAATACTCACTCTTTTTCTCTAAATAGTTTTAAAATGTTTTGTATTTTTATTAAAATAACCACCATCCATTAAATGTTGCGTTCAAAAATCAAATTTCGCAATAATTTTTGTTTTTGTAAAGTGTATTCACATCAAAAAGTTTCAAAATTATTGTGTTCCATTTCGATTTGCATTCAAAAAAATTGTGCACGAAACAGAGCAAGTAGTGCAAGGTGCGAGTGGCCAAGCAAAGTTATTTGGTTTAGTATATGAAAAAAGATATAAGATATAGCTTTTTAGTTTACGGTATTCAGTTTTGGGGGAAAAAATTCTGTGCATATTACAGGAGGGTGAATAGAAAACTAAACAGCAAGAGGAGGAGTTAACAAAAAACATATAATTTTGAAAAGGTAATACAAAAATATACATATTTGTTGGCACACCCGCTTTGATACTCTACAATCATTTCTAATTGAATTTTGAATATGATGATGTGGTATAGTATTTTGTAAGTGGGGGACTTAGGACTTAGAGCTAAGCTTATTAGAAAAAATATTCTTAAACACTATTTAGTTATAAATCTATGGGTTTGAATTGCGTGTACAATTATGGGAAATTTTAACTCTCTAACAGTCTATAAATAATATTTTAAATAGTGTTTGGAGAGCTTAAGCCACTAACTTATTCCGAAAGTTATTTTATTATAATTAAAGTAACTTAGTCTGGTATTTAATTAACTAATCCTCATATTTTAAAATTAAAGCGTTATCTATGTACGAAATTTTGTAAAACGTTTAATAAGTGGCTGTCAACTTTGGCGATTGTTGATCTTGAATCTTAAATATTATATGAATCGCTGTAATTCTTCTTGTTTTACCAACAAGCAGTAAACATGTATTTAAAGTATTAAGAAGATCCGAAGTTTAGAATTCCTAGACAATTATTTATTGCTCGATATTTTTGAAAACACTTAAAAAACATTTTAAAGTTCGCTGAGGGGTTAACTGTAGGCAACTATAGATCTAAATATAATACAACACATTTATGGTGAAACTGTTTTTGACCTTCTCACCAAGCATTAAGTTTGCTTAAACCGGTTGGGAATTCTAATTACTATTAAAAGCTAGTTCCTTCTTTGTAACTTCTTATTCTTTTTTGTAACAAGGCATTTGTTGTTACACATTTGTTGCGTATCGTATCGTAACCACATCTGTTTTGAATATTAATTCGATAATAAATAATATATATGTATAGTTGTTGATATTTGGCGGCCTAGTATAGACGTCATATTATCTCCAGAAGGTTATTTGGTAAGCTGCCAAGCTGACAAGCACAGATTTTGTATACTCTTCTCAACAATCAACGCGTTAAAAAGATCGCGAGCAGCTATCAGCTGTATCTGTATTCTAGAACAATACTGACAGTGTAAGATTCAGATCAGGAACAAATGCAAGAAATGGATTATTTGGAAAAATGCGCCACACTCGTGCTCAGACCTACTTTGTTCAATTTTTAATGCTTTTAATCAAATCCGTATACGATTATTTTCTCTAGGTTAAAGAGGTGAAAGAAACTTAGTTAAAATAAACTTAGACGCGCATCCTAATTCAAATAAACTGCTGAACCACACTAGTATAATGAATATAGAATCTGTTTCTTTAATTAGAGAGCCGGCAGAATGCTGAAATTTGAGACTTATTAAAATAAATAGACCAATTTCGAATTGATTTAAAGCCAAACTCTCGACATTAAATTGCAATTCAATATTTTTGTTGCACATACTTGCAGTTAAGTAAATAATTTAAATGAAATTATTATTGTGTTATATACTGCCCGAAAACTGCCGACACACATCACCTCAAGCACTTTACTTCATTAAAATGTTAAATATGTACCTTGTGGACTACAAAATATTCTAATGCACTGCACACACACACGCATAAACACACATGTATGTATGTATGTGTATTAAATTATGCTTCATTAGTGTACTCGACAGATTTTCTGAGCTTGGGGTCACTTTGGGTTGTCGCTTTGAGTGAATTTGTCGTCATTTCGCATTCGCATTCACAACACCAGTTGAGGAAGACACACACACACACACGCACACTCACAGACACAGCTGCACACTAAAAATATAAAATAATTAAAATGCTACCGTTAGAAATGTGTGCTTTTTGTCTGCTGAATAGAATGAACGAACGAACGAACGAACGAACGGGTGTGCGAAGCGAAGAACGCGTGCCAAGTAACCAATGCTCGAGGTGCTCCTTTTTATTATTATAATTCCATTTTTTCCTCTCTTCTTTTTTGGGCTACGTGGCAGGACGTGTGTCTGCTGTGCGAGCTGTAGCTGCTTTGCACAACCAACACACACCCATACCTCAAAAAGAAAACTAACTAGAAGAAGAACAAGTGCCCAGTTATGTGTGTGTGTGTGTGCAGCATTTGCATATAAAGCCAAGCACTATATTGCTAACAAGCGCATCATAATGACGAAATATGCACAAAATACAAATTAGAAGAGAAAAAAGAGAGAAATACTGTTGCATACTTATGTGGATTGACCCTTTGGCTGAGAAAGGGAAAAAGGGGGAACACAGCAGGTATGTAGGAAATAAGACGTGCAATTTGCTGCAAGGTTCGTATCAATGAATGCCAAACCCACAAACCAACACACACACACATAGGTCCTACAGTCGAACTTCTCTCTCTTTACAATTTATTTAACTCAAGTTATTAATTATTTCAATGCTCTGGACAAAATCACGCCCAAACGAGCAATACGAATAGTGCAGATCCGATTTCAATAGAATGTAGGGCTTTGGAAGAATTATCTTTCTAGCGAAAAATTATTTCCGCTTGGTAATATATAATAGTAATAGAGTCTGACATCGTAGCTTCAATTTACTGAGTAGCTTTCTTCAATATATTATATATTATGTTCGTTAACATAAACAATAATAACAATCACATTAATATATGAATCAACATAGAATATTAATCTTTAGCAAATATGCGAAATTGTTTTACGAAATTAAAGCTTTGGAAGAATTATCTTTCTATCGAAATAATATAATATAAAAAGACAGTCTGACATCGTGGCTTTAATATACTGAGCAGCTTTCTTTACTATTATGCTCGTTAAAATAAACAATTATTTATGATCCAAAATAGAATATTAATCTTAAGCAAAAATACGAAATTGTTTTACGAAATAAAAGCTTTGGAAGAATTATCTTTCTACCGAAAAATCAAGTCCACATGGTAATGTAAAATAGAAAAAGACAGTCTGACATCGTGGCTTTAATTTACTGAGGGGCTTTCCTTAATAATATTTTCGTTAAAATATGAAATAATTATAATTTCCAATAATTTAGGAATCAAAAAAGACGCGTGTTCAACTTTCCGAGAAATGTTCGTTTTGAGAAATATTGTCAAATATGCCAACTCTTATGAAGAGTTCATTATTTATGCGCTATTGACACTAACCTAACCTGATTCGCATATAGAAGATTTTCCTTGCACGAAAAAAAAGTCGTAGCTACCAAAAAAATATTATAATAACAATAGTAATGCTCTAATGATAGCTTGATAGGCAGCTAATTAATATTTTTAGAAACTGCGACGAGGAAGTCGTATCTGGATAGGCACATAAGTACGGGTATATAAAAAGCAATATTTATATACGCATATTTATTTTTAAACCAAATCCATCTGCAAATATCTGAGGCTTTAAATTTAACTATTAAGAGTAATATAAGAAATAAACTTTTATGAATTACAGACTTTAAATACCATACTTTAATTGAAAATAAGCTGTAAGAACAGTTACATAAAATTCTTCAAATATGTTCAATGAAATCTTTATATAGAGGTTTGACTGTTCTTCAGGATGAACACCCACACACACACACAGACACACAGGCACACAGACACTGTCACAAACATACATACAAAGAGCAATAGCTTTTGGTTGCGCTAAATTGTGTACAATTAAAATTATATGCAAATACGTAAGGATCTGGATAGACAGATGGGATATACGAGTAAGAGTGCGAGTTGTGCTTGAGTGCAGCTGGAGGCGAGCATAATTGGGGGCG